TGACAAAGTTGTTAGTTTGCTTTTTCTACTTCTTTTCATTACAAGGTGACAGCATAGCCATTATAAGATGACAGCTTATTTGACTTAGACAGGAAAAAAAAATTTAATTTTCTTTCAATAAATAAATGTATTGGAAGAACTCTCTCTTTTTAATTCAATGAGAAAGCCGGTTCTTTTTAAAATATAATGCAATCTATTCCAGTTCACTTATATGGAATATATATTGATGTTATACACAAATTGGATTTTAAAAAAAATTGATGATAGGAGCTTTCAAAATTAGTAACCATCATTATAGTTTTATCTATGTCTAATTGTTGTTGCCACTACCACCTACCTATCACTATTATGATTTTAGCATGATGATATTGTAATATAATTGTTGTAGTTCTCACTGTTGTTGCCACTATTACCTACCTATCACTATTATGATTTTTGTATGATGATATCGTGATATAATTGTTGTAGCTCTCATTATTGTTGTTACTACTACCTACCTATCACTATTATGATTTTAACATGATGATATTGTAATATAATTTCTCACTGTTGTTGCCACTACCACCTACCTATCACTAAATTATGCTTTTAACCTGATGATATTTAATATAGTTGTCGTAGTTGCCATTGTTGTTGTCACTATTGCCTATCTACTATCACTGTTATGCTTTTAGCATGATGGTATAGTAATCTATATGTTGTAGTTCTCATTGTTGTTGCCACAAAAATGTGATCAAGAATATTTACTTGATTTTCCTTCTTCAACAGCTTCCGGATTTAAAGATCCGAATTTTAGATTCAATAGTTCAGCGCTATGACTAAATTTTATGTAGCAGTTTGAGGTACTTCTATGCGCTTCCTTGTAAGAATTCTAAGAATCTATAAAAGATATTTTGAAGCAGTCTAGTTCATTTAGTTTTAATAATTCACAAATTTTGGCCTTGAAAGTGCTATTTAAAAAGGCCTAAGAAAAAAAGGCTCCTTAATATAAAGCATAATATTTCCAGTATAAATTTAACTGGATAATAAATGAATGGAAAATTTTCAATTAGTAGAAGCTAATTATTATTGACAGCTAACTTATCATAATTGTGTTAATTTCCTTGCAGAAAAAAAATATATCAAATTTTACAAATTATTTGAATTTATAAATCCTTCAAACAAATTATCTCATTGCTCCTCTTGTATGATATGACTTTTGGTTTTAACCTTTTTCACCAATCTATTGAGCAAATCTAAAATACTAATTAACATAATAATATTTCATATTATTGCATTTAATAGAAATAATACAGAAAAAGTCATCCAAATAATATTTGTAAATTTTTAATTATAAAATAAATAAAACAAAAACACCTAGAAAATGCTAATTTTTATACGATAATACAATGAGACATTTTTAGATTTACATAAGTTAGCCATAAATTTTGAATTAAATCATTTGGATGATTAATAAGACATATTATTTGGTTTAATAGATTTACATAAGTTAGCCATAAATTTTGAATTAAATTATTCCATTTAAAATATTTCTTTCAAATACTAAATGAATTTAATCAAATAATTAAATTTAAATGTGACCTTTTTTTTGTAATAATTTTAGTATTAAATAATAAAATTCCAGTATGATAAATTTTTGTCGTCAATTTGAACAAATATTATTTTGCGTTTTATTCAATGATAAATCTTTTTGCATTAACTATATTTAATTTCATCATCTATCGTACAACAACAATTCTTTTCCTTGTTATTCCTCAAAATTGCACATTCCTGATAATTCTGATAAATTGTCAAAACAATATTCAAATCCAACAATATTTCATATTCCGTTTTTCCTTCACTTACGTATAATCTCATAAGATTAGAACAGTTAATAATCATAATCAATCTCATAAGATTATAACAGCTAATAATCATAATCAATCTCATACGATTATAACAACTAATAATTCCGCAAATCGTAGCCTTTGCTTATATCTCATAAAACCATAGTATGTTGTGAATTTCTTTTATAATAATTTATTATTTCATTTGAATCGTAAATAAAAGAGGAAATTACACTTGACATAATTTCTTCATAAATATTGATCTTATATATATTTTTTAAAACTTTACGTTTATATTTCATTTCTTATCCATTCTATCAGCATATTCTATTTCGTAGTATTTTTCGTTTATGATTATTATTTGCTATCATTTCTGATTAATTAAAATTTATTAATTAAATTTTTTTAAAAATATATTTATTAATTTATGAAGAAAATTTTTTAGTTTAAAAAAAATTTACTTTAGCCATTATTTTAGCCGAAAAGTTTATTATTGAAAATTTCTTTTAATTATCATAAATTATTGATTTCTAATAAAAAACCTATTATTAATTTAGTTCATAATTTCATTAATTATTAATTGAAAAGTTTCCCTCTTTTCTTTTTTCATCATCATTATATATTATTATTGTTCAGTTGAAGTTTCTATTTGTTTACTAATATTTATCACCCTTTCTTCTTTTGTTATTTTCCTTAATGATTTATTATCACTTCAATTTAATCAATGATTTAAAAGAAGAGGAATTGAATTTCATACAGCTATGTTACATTTACATCATTTTAATATATAACATTTAGGTCTTAGGCCTGTTTAAGCTCAAACATAAGCCTAATCTTAAATCGCAACATAAGCTTAAACCGAAATCTAAGTCTAAGGTTTAAAAGTTTTAAAAGTCCAAAATCTAAGGCTTAAAAGCGCATTTAGGTAGGGCCATTTACGAATATATATTTTGCATTTAAATCATGAATCAATCGTTGATAGAAGTAATCTTTCAAGTTTAGTTTAAAAAAAGAAAAGAAAAAGTAGTGCCGCTTATAATTGCAAATTTTAAAGCTGTCAAGAGAAATAAAAATATGTAATTTCAACATTTCAATATATCACTCATATCACTAATTTGAACTCATTTTTCTTTTATAATAAAACAAATTAATTAAAGGCATCTTTTGTTTCTCTCACAATTATCCATTTGATGTTGATTATAAGTGTTTATGCGCTTATGTCACATTTTCGAATCGAAATTTCATTATCTAAAAACAAGAAAAAATTCCTTTCAATTTCTAAACTGATTAGTACCTTCTAGATGAAATGCATCGATATGGTGCAATCGTAGAATATATCCGTAATATCAACAAAACATTTTTTTAGTTCAAATTTTTCATTTCGAAATAATTCAAACTGTTTTAAAATTTATTTCCACTCATTAGAAAACAATTTGAATTGTTTTAAAATTAATTTCTAATTGTTAGAAAACAATACAAATTGTTTTAAAAATTATTTCTAATTATTAGAAAACAATTCAAACTGTTTCAGAAAAAATCTATTTCTATACTCTTTCTATACTTATTTCAATTCTATACTTACACCTATTTCTATACTTATTTCTATACTCTATATTCTTTCACTTCCTAACTTATCTATTTTCAATTAAATTTATCAAATTCAATTCTTGAATTGAAAAGTCCGAATTCTCGAATTGAAAAATCTTGAGTTGAAAAATTCTCGATTTGGAAAATTTGAATTCTCGAATTGAAGAATGTTGAATCGAAAAATTCTCGAATTGAAAAAAATCTAAATTCCTGAATTTGAATTTGAAATGCTAAATTACTTTAAGTAAGATAAAAATTTCTTGCCAGCTTTATTGTAAATATTCAAATTCTCGAGAAATACTTTCGAAATTTCAATCATTTCAAGACAAAACTTTTCTCATCTGCCAATATCAAACAACTAAAATCATATCGCTATAAACTACCACTACCATCATCATCATCATCATCATCATCAGCTATTTTCTACATTATTGCTACAAACACTAATTCTCTTTCAGACAGCTGTCTCTTCCCTCATAATGGATACCTTTTTTTTTGAAAAGAAAAGAAGAAATCTTTTGACGAAAAGAAATTTACAAAGTTTCCATTAGTTCATCCTCAATTATTTACGAAAGTTACATCATAAAGTATTACTGTAAGTTGTTTTTGGAACTTTTTCAAACGCATTTATAATTCATTCATTCAATCTTTCTTTCTTTGATTATCTATAATTGTATATATTTTTATTCAATCTTTCTTTCTTCATTTATCTATAATTGTATATATTCTACATTTATATATGTTTACCGTATGCTTTTCCCTCCCTTATTACTGTTAACTCAATCAAATGACTGTAGAGTAAAAAACTAAAACTGTCAATTTCAATAATAATTTCATTTTAATTTGAAAATTTTAATTTTTAATAATAGTTATTAATTATTGAAATAATATCTTTCAATCTCTATTATTCCAATATATGCATGTATTTGCCAATTCAAAAGTTTATTTTGAAAAAATTTGCAACTTTTTCTTTGGCAAATTTGTTGCATTCCTCATAATTAATTAATTAACGAATATTTATTTGCAAAAAGTTAATTTTCTTTAATTCACAAGTAATATCAAATTTTATACATTTAGGAGCAAATTATCACTTTTGTGCACTTAGGCGCAATTATCATTACATTTAAGCCAATAAATATAAATCGCTTTGATCGTAAAAATTTCTCAACTTCTCGATCGAAATCGAAATCTTCGCTTCAATTTCAACAATTTCAGTATTTTCTTCTTTTTTTTTAAAAAAAATTCATATCACGTTTAAATTTACTGCATATTACACTTCCTTAAAATGATATTTTATAAATTTAGGGAATGTTTTAAATAATAAATTGGGAAATTTAAGAAACTGAGTGAAACTTCATCTATTATCTTTTAATTAATCTTTATAACTCATATTAATGGTTATTTATTTTCGAAAACAAAACAAAGCAAAAGCTTATTGTGACGTTTGTTGTGATTTTTCAGCGTAACTGAAAATTTTACCAATTACAGATGGATAATTGGTAAATGATCAAAAGCAATATTATATTTCGCATAATCATAATTAGTTATTGATAAATTCGTATTATCATTGTAGGAAATGTGGGAATTATGATAACAGAGATTGTATTAATTTTCATTATTGATGGAATTTTTTGCAATGATACCAAACAGAGACTTATCACATTGTTGAAAACTGATCAAAAATTTCATGATCAATGGATGCATCTTGTTGAACTACAAGTATGAATTGTTAATTGCTTAAAACGATAGCAGTAATGAAATCTTAAAAATGATTAATTATCGTGTTGACACAAATAATGTTGTGATAATAATGATGCTAATGCAATAGTGATAATGGTTATAGTGATAAAAAAGATGATATTACAATGAATATTCTAAGTTTTCCATTCAAATTAAAATTTTAATTAAAAATACATCAATTACTTTTTAGTTTTTGATTATTAATGCTAATATTTCATTATTATTATTATTTTACCGATACGATTCAATTTTAGCATAGACAAATGTATGAGCAAAATATTGGTAGTGCATTGGGAGAAATTACGGATTTGGTATTGAACTGTGCACCAAAGTTAGATCCTAAATTGGATCATGTAGATTATGTATGTCCAGGTGATATACAAATTTATGCCGAATTGGGACAATTAACACAATATTGTAGAAACAATATTATGGAATTGATTAAAGGTAATATTAATTGCAGCTTTAATTTGTTTAAATTTGAAGAGAATAATTAATAGTTAATTTATAATTAGCGATGCAATAGTCATTCATTATTGACTTTTAATCCTCTTTCATTATATATTCAAATTTTTTTAATTAAGCATTTTATTAACTATAATTTTTCTTTGTAAACCGAATAATTAATTGTCAGTTTATAATTATCATTTATTATCATTTATTAGCGATGCAATAGTAATTCATTGTTGACTCTTATCCTTTTTCATTATAATTATTTTTTTTTTTAATTAAGCTTTTTATAAATGATAATTTTTCTTTGTAAAACCGAATAATTATGAATTCTTCGTCAACAAAAAGAAGACGAATCAATTCCATCATCGGATTGTCGTTTAAAATGAATTTAACGAATTTCAGGTAGGATAGATTCATGTCATCATGCCAGCTATACCAGTTCATTACCATCAATTGTTAAATTTTTAATGAAATTTATACGAAATTTGACAATTATTGAAACATCAAATGCAGTAAAACTTGAAAATCAAACGCAATATTTGGTGGAACAATTTATGATACATAGAAATTGGCGAAATAAGTGGAAATTGATTGTTATTATGCCTAATATAGAGGTTTAATTCTTTTTTGAGAATTTAGAATTTAGCTTAAAAATTTGATTTAAGTAATAAAATGAAATTTAATTAAAATTCTCTTCAAATTATTCCATTTCATTTATAAAGCAAAATTAACATTCATTCATCCCACAATGTTGTAGTAAAATTACAAATGACTGTTAAAATTTCTAAATCCCTTTTTATAGGATGGTGAACTGCAGGAACCTAATCAATCAGCAATTGAAGTAATGAAGGCAATTAAATTATTATACGAAGTGATACCACAACGAACAATTTTGATTGTTGTACGAAGTTCCACTTTACAATTATGGCAAGATGCATCAAAAGCGCATCGTGCATGTCAAATATTACTAGAACCATGGAAAGTTTATGAAAATCTAAATTTGGATTCCATTTGGGATCAAGTTCGTTGATTAAATTATTTAAGAAGTGAACAATGATAAATTCAATAAATTCAATAAATTGAAGAGCAGAAATTTTAATTTTCATAAAAACATAATTGCTTAATTAAAATAATAGATAATGATATGCCATATTGTTTCATTGGGTTTTAAATTATTTCGCAGATGAAATAAAATCCCACATTGGGTTTTATTTCATCTGCGAAATAATTTAAAAATAATTGATCGATAAATCCAATTCTTCGACATTATTTGTTGTGATAAATTTTACTGCTTGCAATGAAATTTCTATTCTATCAATGAAGTTTATATATGTGATGAAATTTTCTTCCATTATATACTATATCAAATTAATTTAAGATTGAAAAAATTTGTGGATTACATTTTCAAAGTTCATTATTTACTGTACAAATTTTACCGCTCATGAAAGATGCCTCATTACCTTTCTTACCTGGTTCTAATCAGTAAGTTTTGCTACATTGCAATTTATTTTGTAGTATTATTTTATTATTTCCAATAAATTATTTATTCAATTAATTATTTGAATAAGCTAATTATTTGCTTTTTTTTTAAAAAAAATCTTTTACGTTGATCAGTTATATTTATAATACAATTTATTTTATAGTATTACTTTTATTATAATATTTGATTCATAATAATCTATTTAAGACAAATAGCTAATATGAGCTATCTAATTATAATTAACAATTAATCTGTTAATAAAAATGAATTATCATTTATGGGTTTAATTTTATCATATGCGTCCCACTACAGAATTGATTTATCATTGCTTGGCCATGATTGTGTACATTTTTCACCGCGTGGTTTATCTCTCCTTCATATAGCAATATGGAATGCGATATTGACAAGATTACCGGATCGTTCGCAAACATTCAATTTCACCCTGGAACAACCAATGTGCGCTGATCCACAATGTCCATTCTTTCGTACAAATAAGAATAGTGCCTTCTGTGTTTGGAATCATCAAAAAGTTAGACATTATTAAAAGCTTTTACAATTTTGCTAATAATATATATTCGACATTAAATCACTCTGGTAATTACCGAAAAATAAATTTTTGAATTAGTAAATTTATATCAAAAATAGCGCTTCTTTTTGTAACTCATATTTTGGTATAAAATTTATCGGATAACTTCCTTATCATTTGATTTTTCCTATTGATGAGATTGTTTTATTTTGAAATACGATAAGTTGAATAAAAATATGATATCAGAGATCAAAGAAATCATCAAATAATGTCGAATAAGATATTTTAAATTTCTAATAAAGTGTACTGTCATGTAACTTCACAAAAATCTTTGATTGATTTTTATAAAGGATTGAAATTAGAAAAACTTATCAGCTGATTGATAAATGATTTCGTCAAGCCATTATTTTATGCCTTCTAGAAATAGCAGAATATTTTGCATTTTGCAGAAATAGCAGAATATTTTGCATATCTTTCATAAAATTTTCCAACTAATGAAATATGAGATAAATTTTTAAAAATTTGAATTCCCATTGCACCAATGCTGGAGAAACTTATTTCAGATAGATAAAGATGAACGTCGTTCGGAGCAACTCATTGCAATTATTATACTAATTCTAACGATGATATTATTTGTTATAATTCTTGGTACCATTTGCTGTAGTAGAAGAAAGGATAATAAAGTGAATGAATTAGCGGAAAATTTTCCAAAGAAACCACCGGTAGGTGCTGATTGGATCTCATGGAAATATATAGATGAAGAAAGCATTGCATCCGGTAAATCTCAGAATTTCCTGAAATTGTGAAATTTTTTTATACATCTTGCACAACAAGCTGTAATTCTCGGGAATTATCCGAGAGTTATAATCTTTGAATTTTTTTTGATTCCATTTGCTTCTTTTAATTCTTTAATAAATACAACTTTGTCTAACTTAACTTATCGAAAAATAGACTAATGCTTAATTTTAAAGAGCAATCAATAATTTTAGCAGCGCAAATGTCAAAAGTACTTACTTCTTTTGCTACATTCACGAATTTTTCCGATATTTTAAGTTATCCGATATCGTTTGCTTATATATATATATATATATTTTATCACTTTATATCAATCGAATCAGTATTACTGATAAGATAAATTGAGAATCGCTCAAATTTAGCAAACACAAATAATTCCTTCTCTCTTTTTCTCTTTCTCATTTTCATTATTCCATTAAAATCATATTGCTCTGTATAATTGTGAAATTCTTGAATAAATTCAGTATGCCTTATATTCTTCATTACTGAAATATTTTGAATGAACAATTAATTCAATTAATAAAGCTTCTTCGCTAATTATTTAGATTATCCCGGAAAGTTATTTGAATACAAACTATTTGGCTTTTTAATCAGATCATATCACTTGCAGCTTTTCTTCATTTACTCTTATTCTCTCTCTCTCTCCTAAGATTCATACATATTCTATAAAGAGAAATAAGTTAGCAATGATCAATAAGAACGTTAATTTCTCTTCAAACAAAAATTTTATAAATTTGAAGCGTGGGGGCATAGCTCAGTGGCAGAGCATTCGACTGCAGATCGAGAGGTCCCCGGTTCAAATCCGGGTGCCCCCTGTTTTCCATCAATTTAATATTATTGTTTACAATCAATTATTGTCAGAATGAAAAATTAAAAATCATGCTAGCATGAAGACGGAAACAGTACGATCAACTTTCAAAGCGACAATCGACGATATTGGAGTTAGATGGGATGTTCAGTTTTTTAAGAAAATTTGTAACAATCGATCGATCGATCGATCGATATAGTGAAAATGAACATGCATGCATTAGTTGGGATAGCAAATTTTTATTCTTTCGGAATATAAAACCAATCTTCTTTCCAACATTATTTTCTAAGGAAATAAACTAACGAAAAACAGATATCAAAGATCGAAAGAACAATAACTGAAACGATGACTCATTACTACTTCAATAAACTAATTATGAATCATTACACTCAACAGGTTTAAATTTCAAATTCAATTATTTTTTGCAAAGTCAAAAATGAACAAACAATCGACTAAAATGGTGACTCATTATTATTCAATAAACTAGTTATAAAGCATTTAATTCAACAGATTTAAATTTCAAATTTCAGATAAAACTATTACTACTATCTTTAGGACAATGAATTATCTGTTCTTCAAGAGATGAAAGATGCTGATTATCATTGCATAGTTTAGATCATTTATAATTGAAAACCATATAATATTGATGATAATAGAATTTCACAGCATAAAATGCAACTATTTGATAATCATTGTTAGCTTTTAGTAAAAATGCTAGATCTTATTCCTTATTAAAAATTTGTATGACTCATCGTATATTCTTAATCGTAATCTAAAATTTTACTGCATTAACTTTTAAACTATTAATTTATTAATTGTTCCAATATTTGCTAATAATATTACAAATGATCCATTTCTGCTTTTTTTGCTTTTAAGAAATTAAGATTAAAAATTACGGATTGATAAATGGTTTTTATAGTTAGAAAGTTTATATTATTATATTAATGAGATTTAATATACTTTGAACATGTTGCACAAACTCCACGTAATATGCTTACATTAATGAGACTTCATATACTTTAAACATGTTGCAAACTTCATGTAATATGCTTTATTTGCATGTCATAACTGCACACATCACATTGCTGCCAACTTCCGGACAAAATTTAAATGGGAAAAAGAAAACATGTTTATAAATGCTTTTTTATATATAATGAAAAGGAAAGAAAAAAGAAATTATAAACAGGTATGACAATAGATTCAAAGAGAAATGATCGTTTTACCGTGTTAGATAATATTTTGCAAGCGATATATATATATATATATATAGTATAGTAATAAATCATCATTACATGCACATTTATGAATTTAATTCACTGCATCAAAAACAACAAAGAAAAATCGAGTTTTGCTTTTGAAGCCCAATTTTTTGTCTTGACATTTTTTCAAATTCTTGTATTTCAATTCCTGTATCCCTCATTCTGCCTTTTTGTATATACGCTTTGCAACTACACCTTCACAATTACAAACCTGAAAAAATTTTTTGATGCAATAATCATTTTACTAAACTTGCTTCTTCAATGATTATATTTTATCATGTTTACTGATATACAACTTATTCTTATAAATATATTTTAACTATACACTAATATAATAAATTATGTATTTTATTTGTTTGCTAAATTACTACTTTCTTTAGTTCAAATTTTCACCATTAGAGAGCAATTTTATAGTAACACTAATAACACTTTTGTAATATCAATTCGACTTTTCGATCATTTCTTCGAAATCTTAAAATTCAAAAAAAATTTTCTCTATTTTTCCTAGATCTCATAAAATATAATTTATTAATTACAGTGTCTTATAAAATATAACTTTTGAAACCCAAGCTTTCATGTCACAAATTGATTAACTACAAAACTAGCTAATTACAAAAAACTTCTATTCAAATATATTCTAATTGTAATTACTACAGCTAAACTTACAATAATTAGTCGACCTTGTTCATCGATGTAACGTTCAAACCTACTGCTCTTATCGCCTGTTTTGGTGGCAGTTTCCAGTTGAACCAGTACGTCTCCTTCCAAAAAGAATTTACTCTGCAACATCATTGCTCTAAGCATCATCGGCTAATCTATGATGAATAATCCATTTCTTAATTATTTTCCATTCATATCCTAATTAGAGGATTTATTTGTGAAATATTTTTGATTAATTCCTTTGGCTCTCATTCGTTATTTAAAAAATTTAATAAAATTTATAATGGTGCGTAACATTTCATACTTTTATTATCATAGAATAAACTATAGCAAATGCATTTTTGTAACTTATAGTTATCAGACAGCTGATTGCAGTCATAAGTAAGGTAGTTAAGAAGTGCACAAAAAAAAGATACGTTGAATCCTTCTTATCTGATATCATTTTAACAGATCGATTTTTTCCTTTTGAAATAACTAAAATATAATAACAAATGAAAAGTATACAATATTTCTATGACTTTTTTAACTGAATAAACATTTGTTAAATAAAACAAACGAATTAACATTGAATAATTAAATGAAAAATTAAATAAGCAACAACCTTTACTTGTCGTCCATCAGCTGTTGTTTCATCGAACTCTTCACCTAATTCAAATTCCCAAACATGTGTTTTAAAAGTTGATTCGCTAACAATCTTCCATTTCTTACCATCCACGGAAAAAGTCAATGTTGGTTTCAGATTTTTTGCTACAGTTCGCATTATTAATCCAACACCTACAAAAATGAAAATTAACAGCTAACGATACAAACAATAATTATTGTACAGCGGGATTAATTTTGGATAATATCTGTAATAATTTTTTTGGTGAAACTAAAATCAATTTTAATGTATTCAATGCTATTCAACAGTAAATGTAGGAAAATATCACGAATACCAATAAAGATAGCTTAGATTATGAGCATTCATAAGTTTATTTGAAAAGATCAATTCAGTGCTTTAATACGAAGTTTTTGGAAAACTTTCAGTTTATGAAAGGTAAATGAAAAAATCCTACAACCTAAACAAACTTAATCAAATTAAATTAATGTATACAATAAACGGCAGTTTCATTATTATCACAGTATAGTGAAATTTCATGAATAATACACATACCAATTTGCTTCATGTATGCATCAAAATTTTCTGATTCAACAAACGTCCAAGTGCCAATAAATTTCTCAGCAACAGCCATTTGTAGCAAAGTAGTAATTCAACACTTCGGTTAATAATTAAAATTTCAGTCTGTAAATAACACCGAAGGAATATGTTATAAAAATTAACAAGATCGAAAAAATTTACGTTGATTCATTTATAATAGATAAAGGTTATTGATTGAAGCGAACCTATTTTTATTTATTTAATAAATACAACCTCATCTACACGTACGCTAAATACAACTCATTTACACGTACGGCAAATACAACCTCATTTACGCGTACTTTTATTTATTAAATAAATAAATAAATAAAAATAGGTCTGCTTCAATCAATAACCTTTATCTGTTGTAAATGATTCAGCGTATGTTTTTTCTACACTGAATCATTTACAACAGATAAGGTTATTGTTTATCTGTGGTAAATGATCAATTTTGGAATTCGATATATGTTTACATTTTTGAAACATGAAATTTGATAAATATTAATAGACAAATAATGAAATAAATTGAGCAACGATCATTTGTCAAATAATGAATGTAATTCTTACACACTAGTTTTATCGATTGATTTTCAAATTAATGATTATTATAATTGAACAATTTGATTGTATAATTTGATGAAATTCCAAAATTTCATCATCGATAATGATGATAATATCTGTTGATAATGATTAAAAAATACTATAAAAACTATAATTAATGAAATAATACTGATAATTTAATTAAACATGTTAAGAATTGATTTAAATATTAACAATTTATGGATAATATAATGATATCATAGTAATATCATCAAAAATAATTAAGATGAAAAAAAAATGAAATGATTATTTATAAATAAAAGATTGAATAATATAATGAATGTGAAATTTTATTAGTTGAAAAAAACAGATATAACATTTACTGAATTGTTGAAAGATTCCTTAATTTAGAGAGACTGCAAATAGGGAATGAATATCAGTTGGGCGGTAATGTCACAGTAGCAATAGAGAATAACAATTAGGCGGTAATGTCACAGTAATAACAACAATAACAGAAATGCATTTTAGCTGAAAATTACTATTATTGGTATAATAAAAAAAATGGTACAAAAGAAAAGAAACGAAAAAAACAGAGATGGGAAAAATTCTACGCAGAAAGAGGAATGGAATGGATTTGGAATGGATTGGAAATGGATTGGGATGGGATAGGATGGGATGAGATGTATGGATGGATGAGTAATTTGGACACAACAATGATTATTTGAAAGATCGATAGAGCAAAAAATGGTAGGACGAATTTTATAACCTCAACCGTTGATAACTGACATCAACTAAACGACCAGCAACAATAGATGATATATCTATGGTTTGTAGTTTTGCGAAATTGAATGTGAATAATGAGGGAAGAAAATTGCTGCATTGTCATAAGATTGTGACAGTTTTTCTTCTCTCTCTCTCTCTCTCCCTCTCATTATCATTGCTACATTATTGCATTTGCAACTATCTCATGAAAATCGCCTATTAATTTAGGAAGAGCAAATGGTACGACAAACAGGCAGATGATATAAACAAATATTGTAAGATAATAGGTAAATAGGGTTAAGCGTTGTTAATAATAGATAAATCGAAGGTACAAAATTTTGAATTGAATTTCTCCCTTTAATCGATTTCTTTCTTCTCATTCATTCATAGTTAATACAAAATTTTTGCAGTAATTAATATTTTCTGATAATTTACATGCAAACTTACTGATTTGCAAAATATTAGAATCGAACTAATTTCTGTCAATTAATATAATTTATGTAATTTAGCATAAAAGATACTTCTATAATTTCAATAATGATGACGAATAATATTTATATGAAAGATACTTTTACTTTTAATGCAATATTTCAAACTTAAATTCCCTTTTCCTTAATTCATTTGAAACTGTCACCAAAAAATGATAATAATAATAATAATAATACACATGGCTTATCTTTGCACTATTACAAGCAATATTTATTCATTGAAAATGGAGAAATAAAGAGTTAGACAAATATAAGATTTAAAAGTTCAATGATAGAGAAGAGAGAGGCTGTCATCAGTGGACAGAAGTGCCAATTAAATTTTCCATTTCTAATAGACGAAATAAAACTCACAGAAGCTCTTTTTGGACTAGACATGAGAAAATTTTTTAACCCAAAAAGGGATTTAAATCAATGAATGGTAGCATTACACACTTTATGTATTCCAAAATGTAACACATGTATGAAACCTTTAAATTACTATATTTTAGTAATTTGTAAATGAAGGTAGCTGTATTATTATTATGCTCGATTTATTTAACGAAATCATGATTAATCACTATCACTATCAAATATATCCATTAAGGATTGTTTATAATTGCCGAGACTTTAATATCTATGATTAAATATTATTCAGAAAATGTTTAACTGATTACCGAACATTAGTAATAATATAATTTCATCAAATTTTGCTTTATAGTGATAGTGATTTTGATAGTGATATTTGATAGTGATTAATCATGATTTCGTTGAATTTGATAGTGATTAATCATGATTTCATTAAATAAATCGAGCATAGTAATAATACAGCTATCTTCATTTATAAATTTCTAAAATTTACTAATTCAAAGATTCCATACGTGTATTCGAAGGATATTATAGAGTCATGATCTTTGAAAAAAAAGAGTAAAATAACAAATTCATCTTTGTAAGATATTGATAGCATGATCGTCTCCTATCGTTTCGTTAATTATATCTTGACGATATACAGATGATTACAGATTACAAATTACACCATCTTTTCTTATCTTCATGCCTCCTAACTACTAGTACAGTAGCAAATTTATTCTCCAACTGGAATTAATCTGTTTTAGATTTTCTTTTTGCCAACAAAAATTAATGTTTCATAAATGTATTGTTTTTATCTTCGAACTTTTTTAATGAAAACATAGAATTGTTTAATAATTATTCTCTATAAAATTTTGACTATTTCTATGAAGAAATGATCGAAATCTTATTCAGTTCACATACATACATCAACCACTCTTCACATTCGAAATAATTTAATTTAAAGCAAACAACATCTTTTCATGACAATAATTATTGTCAATTGTCTTTCCTGCTCTAAAATATTCGTCCTGATTATTAGATATCAGCCAGAAAAAAATTTCTCAATTTTTGCAAGATAAAATGAAAAAAGGTTATATCCTCTTAATTCGTACAAATGAACCACATGGTAACCTGTAATCTCGGTAATATGAATGATTAGAAATGTAGGCATCTTTCTGATATGATTTATCGAAATACTACTACCCTCACAAAGATTGGAAAAGATGGAAAACTGGTAAAAAATCTTGCAAACACAAAAATATACGACATGTACAGGGTCAGAACAATAATTTCATTCAATCAACAATTGCTTTCAAGTTCAAATCTAAATTGAGAAAGAAAAACGAAATTAAAACAAAGTGACAAATTATTGTGGTATGAATGTGTGAGGAACAAATGGATCAACGCATATGCGAAAGAGATTCTAAGACCAGATTTTCAAATAATACTGAAAAAATGCACACTAAATACCAAAGCATTTTACAGTAAACATTGTGAGGGCATATACTTATAATACAATCATTTCAATGCGACAAAATTTTAATTCGATCCTATCCACATAAAAAGGAGGATAATAAAGTAAGAAACTTGCTTATCAAAGGTGCTTCCAATGTCTATTTGTAATTACTCCAAGTTTTATCCCTAACTTGTAAACCAAAGAACTCTAAATTAAACTTCTCGGAAGAAGGAAAACGACTTATTTTTCAAAGTCCCGGATGCAATCCAGAAAATATTGATCCTTTTCAACATTCATTTATAATCTAGTCATCTACTTTTTAGCACTCTGCAAATTGAAGTTCAGCTTGCCTAATAAAAATTACGAAAATAGGAATATAAAAAATAAAAAAACATCACCAAATTGATAAAATGTGAAAATGGAAATGTGAAAATGTAATAATGGGTAATTCAGAAAACATAACAAGTCAAAACCTTAAGGAACCCAATAAACAACAAAGACTATCCTCCATTAACCGATATTAAAAGAAAGTTTGGATTAGATTGAAATTATAGGAAGTTTGAACTTCCTCAGCTTCAAATTGAGCCTACTTTAAAAGTTGCAAAATGAATTGAGTTAATATTTTTTAAGCAAAGTATCTTACAAGCTCTATAACAATTAGAATTTCGTCATTTGATCCTTTTTTCTCATCGAACAGCCTGTATATGCAATCATTTAGACAGGTAAGTGGAAATTGAAAAAACACAAAACAGAAGCAACTATCCGTTTATTAGTACCCGGTCGTCAGAGAAATTACCCGTGGCATCCGATATCTGGTACCACTGGTGGTGAACATTATGTGGTTTCAGATTCTGTAGGTGTAGCTGAATCGTATACTGTATCATTGTCGCGAGTTTCGGACTGCAATGTACACTGTCTATCCAATGACCCAGCACCACAATCGCAAAAGAATCTAAAAAATGGAAATGCATAATATAACTGCAATGATCTCTCGAAATTTCAATGTGTTAGAAATTTAAGAATCGTGTTCTACAACACTTGGCTTCCTTTTTGTCAATTTTACTGCCTCAAACTACTAAAAAAAGATTTTGAAATTTCTGTCTAAATTGTGGGAGATACCTTAAATATCGGTAATTTTACCATGGATAAAAATCAGCCTAACGGTTTGAGCGTATAAACAAATGAAGCGATAATGTGGAATTTAAATGCAGAGTAACTTTTTAATAAAATGATTGCCATAATCTCTAGTCAAGAAACAAAGAATTATTAACCGATCATGGCGAACAAATTCCACATTATGTCCTTTGTGACATGACTTGATGCAGTTGACACAAATTGCATTACGATCTGTTGTATTACAGCTTATACATCTGTAAATTTAGGCAAATACACACATCATACAAATCTCAGAGCAAAAAAGTTGAAATTGCATAAAAAGAAGAAATATGTGTTATGACTTACAACAAATCACGCTTGATAGCTTTCTTCCAATTTTCCAATTTTTTTAAATACTTCACAACTCCCAAAAGATATTTCAGCTGAATATACATACCCCCTTTCTCACCTAGCAGAAGTTGTTGGATGATTAGAAAAGTAGAAAAATCCGTTTAGCATACCATACATTATAATAACATATAACTTTCCAATATTCACTTCAAAAATGGTATCAATCCAAAATGAAAATTATTTAAAGTATGAAAATAAAAAAGACCGGTAGAAGTCATGCATCGGAAATGAAGTGCAAGAGCTTATTTTGAACAGACAATGTCCCTTAGCGATCGTCCGATCAACAGCATTATGATTATCATAAATGAGGTTATCACGCATTATTGGACGCACATCACTTGCCAAACATAAGCCTAAAATAAAAATATGATATGTTGTTAAAACAAATAATCATAATAAATGAGTGACTGAAACTATAACACTCAGAAATGAAAAAAATTGCTAAAACGATAAAAAGAACCTCAACACCAATAATTATGCAAACCTCCGAATTCATTTTGAAAGAGATGATTTCCTTCCAGTGTTGCGGTAGCACCATTTGTGATTTCGATGCCCGCAGCGCGTCCTTTGTAAATCCGATTTCGCCGAAGAATGGGATTAGAATCCGTTGATATCAAAACACCAGCCTGTGCATTACGGTAAATTTCGTTGTCTTCTAGTAAACCACGGCCCTAAAATAAGCCAGTTTTATGAACATGTTACTAGCTTTCTGTTAATAAGTAAAATGGTTAATCTGAAAAGGAGTCATACGAAAAAATGGTCGAATCAAAAAGTAATAATAATATGTTCATTTTGTCAATACCATGTAATACGATTTCGCCACAATTTTTTTAAATGAGAAATTGTCTTAACTTTAACGTGGAAAGTCTTGCAGTAATATAGAATATTATTCAAATACTACGTCAAATAACGCTGGAGCACTTAGATTCGAATTTCAAGGAATTCAAACTGATACGTCATCGAATAATACAAACACACATTAGGAACATAGAAAAGCAGTTTTGCCTTACTTTTGATTAAATCAACATTACCTTATTGAATATGCATATTCCTCCATCACGCCCATCGTAAATTTTATTACGCCGAAGAACTGGATTGCTTTCCGTTTTAATCCAAACACCCGCCATTGCATTGTCGAAAATTTCGTTATCTTCCAGAACACCTTTTCCACAGTTGTATACCAATACACCTCCATTTTGACCACCCCAAATCTTATTTCGAGTAATTTTGGGATTTGAACCTGTTCTGCAAAGCCATATACTTAGGATGTAACATAAAAATAAAATTTCGTTTTTACTCGTCAATAAAACCAAAAAATACTACAAATAATTGGTAACTTGACTACATTACTCTTAATGAAGTATTTCAGTGAATCGAAATTCATATGAGTAACAATTTTTTCTGTGATATCTTTTTGAGTACGTTAACCCAGCAATCTGAACCAAAAGAAACATCCTAAAACGTCCAGAATAATACCAAAAATTCTGGAATAAACGTGAATGCTCCCAAACACAACATTTTCATCACACTACTATAAGCCACTGCAGATGCTATAGTTAAAAATAAGTTCACATCAACACAAGATTTAAAAGATACCTTATTTGAACACCGGAGTAAAGGTGATTGAAGATGTCATTTTCTTCCAATAAACCATGTCCGTTATCATAAAAATAAACGCCAACCTATAAAATTCAGAGAGTTTCAGAAAAGACAGATAGTCAAAATGAAAGCAAGCAGACGCAGAGAAACTGATTCACAAAGTACACAATCATATGCAGTGCTCGGAAAATAAGTGATACGATATTAAATTCTATTTTTATAATCTTTATAAAAAAAATCTTTAACTTATTTCTATCTCCTACTTTATTTTCGGGATTTCACAAATATTTTAGAAGAATATTGTTGCTGCTTGCAGAAACAAAAAATCTAGACCTGTTTGCCGGAATGTATGCGATTTTTTCGCAGTATTGGACAGGATCCAGTTGTCACCCAAATACCCGCAAGTGCGTTTCCGTAAACTTCATTCTCTTCAATTAATCCCCGTCCTTTTTCGTGCTGCAAAACGAGTTTAGCAATGGTAATTCGAAATGTCATGCCATCGATGAAATAGGTCAAACACAAATTACTTGCGAAATTTATGAATCTATAAAAGAAAAATGAGTTTGTAGTGGGAAAAACAATCAACCAATACCGAATAAAACCCCTATCTATAATCGGTCTCGTTTTCATTTGACCACTGCAAAAATGTTGTAAAAAGTTTTCCTGTAAGTTTCCCGTAGCTCGTACATTTCAACTGGTTTAACTGATCAATTTATTAAGTATTTTACTTATCGCTGCACAAACAAAGAAAAGAAATCTTGACAATGCAACGTGTCCTTTCTAATTGGCATGCTGAACTGAATACTTGAAATTAAAGCAACTTGAAAATTCAATGTAATCCGATATTTGAATGCTTCCCAATACTATTCCTTTCAAAAACTTTTCGCATAAAATCTGATACACTTAGAATTTGGTGACAGAAAACATAAAACTTTCATAATCTTCTGGGCAGTATTCTTCAGAAAAATCATGTAAAATGAGAGAGAAAAGAAGCTACCACATATATGCCTCCGTGATATCCACTGTGTATTTTGTTGAGTCTAACAATCGGGTCGGAACCGGTGCGTATTTGAATACCAGCTAGATTATTTTGATAAATATTGTTTTGTTCAATGAGACCACGTCCTTCACCAAATACGTAAACGCCACCCTGTTGACCCGAAAAAATCTCATTTTTCCTCACGGTGGGATCGGATTGTGATGTTATCCAAATGCCAGCGAACTGATTCGAGAATATTCGATTCTCGATGAATTGACCGCGCCCTATTAAAACATATAATTTTACATATCAAAATAACAGCACAAAGTCAAAAAATAACGCATGTAGAAAAGTCGAAAGAATCAAAGAACTTCATTGGACGTTGAAAGTAAAACATTTTATTAACATGAAACGCACAACATCAACTCTATGTTCGCAAATTTCTCTGAATTCTATAAAAACTATCATTTTCCCCGAAATCGATTAGAATATTTCCGCTGCAAAAGCTTTTCTTCCTAATAGACATAATGGTGTTCCATATCAATCCTTCCAGCGGAAATATATCAAATAAGATGAAAAACGCAAAACAAACTAACCTTTTTCATGTATATAAATTCCACCAGTTTGTCCATGATGAATATCGCAACGAACAACAGTTGGATTAGCTTGGTTTTTCACTTCAATACCCGAAATGCGATTACTGTGAATATCACATTTCTCGAAGTAACCCTTAATAAATAATAGATAAGCTGGAAATTGAAATGAAAAATACCAAAAATTAAATCTTTATCCGATATCATTTTTATACCTGCCATCATCAATCCAAAGCTATATATTCCAAGGTCATTTTACGAATGCATGTTCAATCTAAATTTGTCAAAAATTTGACGACAAAATTTCCCTAAAAACATGGAATGAGGACTGCAGCTATGAATATTTCATGAAAAGATAGTTATTGTTGATTCGCAAGCTTAGACTGGACATGAAAAAAATTTACAGGTTCCAGTCTTAGCTCTCCTTTTAAACGTTTATTAACGTTTGATAAACTAACCATTCCATGTTCAAAAGTGAAAACCCCAACGTCTCGACCATCATGAATATGGCAACGTCGAAAATATGGATTCGCTTTATTCTTCACCCAAACACCAGCTAACGTATTGCGCGCAACTTCACAATCCTCATATGTTCCAGTAGCACTGTCAGTAATGTAAATTCCTACGTTATCTGAGCCACATATAGAGCAGTTCTTGATGTAAGGATTTGCCCCTTCATGCTTTACGCAAACGGTGGCACCTCCTGTAACATAAATTGTTCGTTCTTGAAAGATTCTACATATTATATATCATTGAATCATCACAACAATAAATTCCACCTCTAACAGTACTGAAACTTTGGAAAAACAATTTCTTCCAGTTAACCAGCCAGCTATTATACACATTTTAATAAAAGTATGAGTTTTTATCACACTGAAATTTTTTGAATGAATTTATTACTCCAGCTCTCAATTTATCCTTTTCATTTATCCTAGTGTCATATTCTCATATGTGCGCTTGACAGACTTCAAATATCGATTCAGTAATTTTAACATGTTTCTGAATTGGCCAACTCCTCGAAAAAGTGTCTCAGGATTTTCTGAGTAGATTTTGCTGATTAACTCTGGCCTACCATTTTTGAATGTTTTATTTTTATATGAGTAGCAACTTAGGGAACGGTTTGGCCAATTTTTTCTATCTAAAATCTTTGCTCCAAGCACGACATGGTGACAGCTCTGAATTAATCAATCCATCCCGACCTTCGGTGCATCATAAAATTCAATTTTAGAAATTATTCATTGGAAAAAAAAATAGAGAAACTGAAACAAACCAGAGCAAGTTGATGAAAAACTGCAATGTTCAATCAGTGGGCTAGCAAAAGCGTTAATAACAAGAGCAGAGCAAAGATGTTGCCCGTTTCCTACACGCATTGCTTCTAAAGGAGGTTCCATATATTTCACCGTACAAAACCCAAGATATGCATGTTCAGCACCTTCTACATACGTTATCGTTGTCCCACTATTACTGTCAATAATAACTGAATCTTGAAAATTGCGCGATGCACCTGTAACAAGAACTATTTAAGTACATTGAATTCTAAAACCATTTCCAGTGTGACAAAAGTTTCGCGCTTAGTATAATAAAAACTTTCCTGAGTAATGGCTGATCATAAATTCATATAGGACATGAGTGATTTCAGTAGCCAAATCATTTTAATTATCCTAGATACAGATGAGATTTGAAGAAAAACAAAATTAAGCTAATCACCAAAAAATCAACATCAAACTCATCACATCAACATGTTGGTGAAATTTCTATTCATTCAATGGTCTTTTTATTTTAAATAAGGATGCAGTTGGTAGTTTAGAAATAGTGAGATCAAACCAATCAATTTTTACACTAAGGATAAAAAAGGTCAATTTTGATCTCAAAAAGAGTAAAAAATTGAAAAAAAATTGTTTCTGACAAAAATAGAAGGACCATTACCTGCTCCGATAATCTGCAGTGGTGTGTCGATCACTAACTGCGTCGAAGCATATATTCCTTCATGTAGAAAAATTAGCTTTTCTACTTCATTTGGAAGTTGTTCACAATGTTCGACTGCATCAGTAAGATTTTTAAAATGCAATATATTGCGTCCGATGTGACCTTCATAAATATGGGCAGAACCGAATCGTATATGAACACCTTGTCGCTGCAAAAATACATCAATACAAAGCAACATAAAACATAATATAACTCAATTTAATCAAATGATAATATGATGCGACAACATCATATTAAGGAATTTTGTACTTCTTCACTTTTACAGATTCAAATCGGATATTATCCTGATGAACTAAAGTGTCCTCAAGAACTTAAAGGAGACTCAAACAGCAATGAGTGTTTCAACAGCAGATTTGAAACAATTTCCAAATGTTTCAACGGTAGATTTCAAACATCCTGTGTTTTGCAAATTACTGCTGAATACTCACCAATTGGCGAAAACTTTCTTTCCATGGATTTACAGTATCTCTCCAACGACCAACTTCCCGAAATTCGAATTTGCGTGGTTCAGGATGATAAAGAGGTATCCGATATTCAAAAGCTTCGTGATACAGTATCTTCCTGAGAGAATACAAAATATATAAAAAGAAAATATTTTTTATTAAAGAAATTTTGAAATTGCTACCTTCACAAATTTAGTAACATTCAAAAAAACTTCAATGAAGCGAGAAGGTACATCCTCTAGGCTGGTTAGTGACGGGAGCATTTAAACAAACCAAATAAAAAATGACAAGCACTATCGAAATAGGTCCAGCACTTCATTATCAATATTCTAACCAAAACATGTTTTTATCAGTTATCCTCGGTCTTTCCTTTAAATAATCTGAATAATCTGAGTTTATGACTAATGCACACACTCCTTTCAAAACTCTTTACGATCTTAGCTGACATATCGCACATTTCCTCGTATTCAAACGATTAGCACTGCAATGCTATTTGAAGATATCCGTGATGGCTTTATATTTTTTCTGTGACTATTTATAATGGTCTTTTTCCTCTTTTCCCTTTAACAAATTATATTCTATACCACATTTTTTGTTAGCAGATACCACAATAAACCAATTATTCACTAAATATATCAATTTGTTGAATAAACTAACATTGTGCATATAAAATCATTGAATATGAATTTCTTTTCAATTTCGAAAATTTATGTACTATAAAAATCTCTTTAAAAATGATATTAAAACTTACCATAAATTTAAATCATTTGATAATCGGTAAAAACGACGCGATACGGCAGAACATGTCAGGAGATCGCCTTCGTAAAGAAATGAATAAATCTAAAAACAATTAAACTTTGCCGCGTTTCGCAAGTTAAACATCTCAATATCAAGTTTGTGCATTGAATAAATGAACAATAGCGCAATATCTGAATATAAACAAAGCTAAATTTATACATACCTTCATAAAAATTTCATCTGGTAAAATATCAATTGAGGAATCAGATAAATAACGCTCTCCAGACAGATCCAAGCTAGAAAAAATCATAAATAAGGCAAAAAAAAAGAAATAAGAAAGTGACAGATCTCTTTACACATCTGGAAAAATATAAAATTAAAATGTATGCACGTGAAGATCTTCAAATCTTTATTTTATCCAAAATAATGAAAATCGAATTTTGAAAGCAGCTTATTTCAATGTCGAAAAAATAGATCCAATAATAATTAATTCTTCTAAACATATTCAAATTTTGGACTCCTAATAAGCTATAGAATTTATGTAATAAACTAAAATTTAATACGCTGCACTTCAGCAAGTTGTGAGAAACTATGGAATCAAAAAGAAAAATGTCTCGGCCCACAAATGATAGAATTACAACTCCAGCTTCCTGCTTGCCAAATCCTTAACTTCCTTAGGTAATTAAGCATTCTCAAAATTTTTCTAAGCCAAGTTCACTTTAAATTCATTCTTCTAATCATAAATCATCAATCAATCATTCACTCGACACAAATTTTTTTCACAAAAAACTGCAACAATAGTGATGTACCTGCTTTGCGCTTCAGTCAGTGGATCACCTTTTATCCGTTTACGCAATGGTCCCACTGATTTCTAAAAAAGGAAATGAATTTTTTTTCTTCGCAAATATGCCTTTTAAACGAGATTTCGACAAATTTGTTAAAGAGAAATAGAAAAAACCAGTTTTTTTTCCCATATTATTTCATTTGCGCATCGCAAGCAGATATGCATACGTTTCAAAAAGCAGGCCCAAAAAGATGAAAAAATAGTGCAAGATGTCTATTTTGTTATTTTTGTCAAAATGTTTTGGAAAACATCGATTTAATCAGAGTACTAGGAAACTTAATAATGGGATGATAGACCGATCTACTAACCAAATCATTCTTTTTGCTGATGTTAGGCCATTCAAAGTTATTTCATGGAATATCTTATTAAACAAAGATTTCGAATTATAGACAACAGAGGCGTTCTGTTCAGGTAAGAAAAATAAGCCATGTAAAAAAACCTATTTCTAATACTGAGACACTGGGTAAGTAGGACAACAACGAGAAGATCAAAAGGAGTGTTTGACTGACAGTTTCTTCAAATAGTGGCTTGCCTATTATATTCCTATCTCCCATTTTAGCACGTGCAAATTATGCGCAGTAGAACTTATTAATATCTTCAATTTCACCAAAAGAATTCTTCAGATATCTAGTACAAAGGCTCCCAAGAGATGCTGAATCGGACACTAGAGTTTCAACTTTAGAATCAGTATTCACGATTTCCACTTGTTCACCAAGTTATCAGTGAATCATATTAAATCATTAGACCTCTCACCAAATGATGACGACAGAAACACTTGTATTAGACGTGATTATTGATATTCAGAATAAATTACTTAGTGAAGTGACCATTCGCAATTATTTGGGAATTGGAATAGTGATTTACTCTGTTATTACTGTAGCAAAATGAACTGGAAAGAAGTCAAGATATTTACTTTCAGGAAGGGAAATGTTAAAAAGGTATTGAAAAAATCCAGTCCGCTTTTCGACAAGTAGATTTGATACTTCCTTCTGTCCTCATAATTACTATGGAAAAATAGACAAAAATGATGAAAACGAAATAGACAAAGCAATAAAACGATGAAATAATAGCAATAAACGTGAAATGAATTTGTCTTAAATATGAATTATAAATAAGTGTGAGTTATCGATGACGTAGTGAAGATAACTGTAGTATTATTTCCTTCTTTTGAAACATAATCTATTTAGAAAATGCCCATATCACTGCTCCTCCATTAAAAATAATACCAATAAATCATCCAAAGTAAAAGACTAATACTTCAAATCCTCTTAAACTGCTGCTAAAATAGAATTGTTGTCCAAAGCGCGATGCTAGAAAGGAGAGAACCAGCACGCTTATGGAAGAAGTAAAGTGTTCCAAACAAGATAAAGTCATTCTAGAAAATGATGAATTTCCTCGGAAAGCAAATGCACCATCATTTTGTCAAACTTTTTCAAAAAGAAGAAAACTAATTCAAAACATTTTGACAATCTCATACGTTTATAAAACGAAGAACCACCACGCACGATGTCATAGAATTTTTGGCCTAAATCTGGCAAGCATAATCTAAACTTAAATAAACTTATAGTTTATGATTTTGGAGATACATGATTTTGGAGATATATTATTATAGTGCGCAATTTTTTCCTTGATATCTCGTATCCTAGATCAATTCTAAACTAAATTATGACAAACTTTTCTATAAAATATGTAAAATATTGTACATCGGACGACTCAATTACCATGCTTCGAAATCTCGCTCAATCTTTTATGAGTTACAGCTTCTGTTTCTAAATACTGAGGTATCAGAAGATCACAGCGATTAGTGTACCGCTGATTAGAAATTACATAAACTGCAACTTCTGTAAACCAGTGGTATATCAAGAATGCTTTTTGCACGTATTACAACTTTGTTTCTAAGCATGCATCACGTACTTCCAAATAAAACAAAGTTAATAACCTCATCGGCTGTTGCAGCCATGTTACTCGTAACGCATCCATCTCCTTCGCTGTGTTGGAGAGATCGGCGCCGACGTAATTCATACCTATATAACATAGAAATTTTGATTTCATCAAATGGAACAACTTTTGAGTATTGTAGTAGCTCGCTAACTATTCCAGACAATAACTGAAATTTTTCATAACTTATGACTAAAACTCCAGAAAAAAGAGCGACAACTTAAGGTTTTTTTTGCATCGTAGGCTCACAATGATGCATCACGAATTATAATGAGAACCAATACGCACACCAATGCATGATGCTAATCTAAAACCATGTAATTTCTTGGAGTGGTCTTATTTCATTAAAACAAATATTTCGCTAATCTGTTTAAAAATTTTTCCGGAATTACAAAAAGAAATTACTCCATCATGATGTTCCCTAATCTCTAAATTACCTTTTTCTGGCAGCCATATCGGTGATATCCGTTTGTACAGGTACTGACTGAAAGTACGAAACCGAACTGCTCACTGGCGTTGACGTTTGCACTGTCGGCGGTTCTGCAGGATCTGCTTGTCCACTATTACGACGTCGAAGCACTATAATTTGTAAAAATTCAAATGCATTAATCAAATGATTAATGCATTTGAATAGTCAAGACTATCGTAATTTTAATAACCTCACAAGCACGATCTCAAACTCTTCTTCCAATCACACGTGACTTATGATACAACAAGAATTCCATGAACATAAACTGAAATACGCAACAGAAGGATGAAAACCTCAGAAAAGCTCATCGTATAGTAACAAAAATTGCTGATGCATATCAAAAAAACAAAAAAATTATACCCATGCTATGCAAAGTGATCTTTCGCTTTTTTCCGCGAATCAAAGTTTGTCGAGATAAGCTGATCGACAGATTCGGACTTGAATCGTCTTCTCCATCCGCCATATACCATAAGTAATTACCTTAACTGTGTAATACGTGAAAGAAAAAAAAAACGTAGTTGAGAAACTGAAAATCATAACACGTATTTTAAAACTACAAATTTCATTATATCCAACAAATCTGAACTTGATTAGCCAACTAATGCGATCCCAGCTATTTAAAATATCACGATCAGATTTCTGGAATATAATGGAAATTATAATTTTAAAGGACATGATACCGCTGTAAACTATTCTTTACACTTTTTTTTCGTGAAGATACAATTTTAAATCTTTGGCTTTGACGAACCATTTAAATCTGAAACAAGGGAATGATTTGAGAGTTTACAGCTACTACTAAAATATCCATTAATATCAGCATGCAGAACGTGCTGCATTGGATGGATGATTTCGGCAATTCTTTGTAGAAATTCCTTATGTTATGTTGATCTACTCTATCCTTAACCATTAAAAAAAGGTAAAATATTTACCAACACAAAAGGTAAGAGGGAAACATAAAAACTGTCTAGCAACAATCGAGTAATCATACACTTCAATTAATAACCTCCTTTTTTTAGAAAGAAAACTGTAAGGGGTGAACTAGTTCAACAGGTTTTTTGTCCCCAAATATCTCTCCTCTCTTCGTATTTTTTTGAGGATGATAGAGCTGAAATGGCAGGGCGGGGGAGGGGAAGAGAGAGAGAAAAGAGGCGATTATGGTAAAGGAAGGAAATGGATAAAATGATGTAAGCTGCTTGATTCATGCATGCATCAATCAATGATAATGAAAAGAAGCACACTGCAAAAAAATTTATTGGTAATTTTCTAAAGACCTATCGATTATTATCGGATGATTGGATGCTTTAACTCCTTCCACGAAAAAGCTGTGTCAAAATAACATCAACATGTGAGGTAGCACGAACATGCTATTATAAATGTAATTATGGATATTAAAAAAAAAGGATTTCTAAAATATTCAATTCTTTAAACATTCACTTTATCAATAGATTAAATATATGAATTGAAAGAACAATAAAGCAATATTTAAATCCTATTTTATTATTCTCTTGATAAAGTGAATGCCGCCTTAATAAAACGCATGGTCAAAATTTCATTTCCTAGAAAATAATAAAATGAAGAGCTCCATCAATCTGGAGCAGTTATGAATTACTGGATAGCATAACTGCAAATACAGCACATTAATCATTCGCTAAGAGTGTAACATGCAAAAATGATAATGCATGAACAATTGTGGTCATTCCAATAAGTCGAGAAACGCACTGAAACAAACTGATAAGAGCCAAATAGAAGACTACAAAAGAAAAACATAAGGCTAGGCGATCCAATGGATCTTATATTTGATAGGATTTGCAATGAAGGCATGAGAGCTGCATCCTAGAATAATTTTCTAAGCTCTGAAAGAATTGAACCCTATGGATGAAAGATGGGTCAGACGGTGTGAATGGAACCATACGATTGTATGGGAAATCTCCACACGAATTTGGATACAAAAAAAAAGATAAAAAGAAATTTTCTTGGACAACCAAATCGTTAGACAGATGGAAATGATTAAGTGGAACGAGCAGTGAGTGTCATCCCATTCAGGCAGATGACACTCACCGTATCAGCTTTTTGATAGGGAAACAATTAGTGGATTTGCCAAACTTTTGGCGAGTCATATCGAATGAATGGACAATGGTTCATCGCTGAAAAAGAAGTCCGAAGCACCAACTGCTTCAAAGATAACCCATCCACCTTGCCATCTACACTACCCGAACGGTAATAGTTAATCTTCCAATATTATATTAAACTAAAATGTACACTGTGCGAAACACAGACACACATATACATATACATAATACGCATGGAAAAGAAAATGAGAGCTATCGAATCAATGTGACTACGAAATTCGAAATACATACACATACGCATACACACACACATACACAGACACAGACACACACAAACATACACACATATATACATATATATACACACGGGATCGATAGATGCCCTCTAGCGTCGGTTGTGAGATAGGCGGCACATTGTATACAAGCCACCCCCAAACTACCACAACTATTGCAAAGGACAGATACATTGGAGGGAAGATTCCGGGTCAACCACTGAAATCCCATGAGTTACCTTCTGAAATTTGCCCTACCTCATGAACTTGGATATAGTGCCAAAGTTTGGGTAGAGCATATATTTTCACAGCATAACATCATAATTCAACAGTCGAGGGAATTTTATACGATGACATGGTATGGTCGTCCCCAATTCGGGAGGGGACAGTTTATATGCATAGTGTTCCCATATGTTCAAAACATAACTTTTTAGAATCCTTGTCTTTTTAATTCTCTTCATATCTTACTCGAAAATGAAGGAGCTGTTCACCATAACTCCAAGAAGCCCACGCTTTGTTCCAGAATTTCCGTGAAAATAGCCTCAGGCAAATCGATCGTACGGATGGATAAGGCTTTGAGGAAATTTTGCATTAATCTTACAGCACAATGTCACATCTATATATGCATAACACTCAACAGTTTTGAGTTTCTACCCGATCAGCATTAAACAAAAAAAACGGGACGCTAACACAATTATCAGTAGTGTGGAGTACTGGAAGGAAAGTGGCAATACGGAAATGCGCTACTATTTCACGTCTCTCCGAACATAACATCTTTTTTTTTAAAGAACAACGATGGATAACAAAAATATAAAGAAAATATTTCGGAGTTTCCCGACAACACTCACTGAATGTTATCATTCTACCCGAATATTCCCCGATAACATCATAAAAATCATATATTCACCATACTTCCCCGCAATCCCCGGATCGCGTGGTATCAACCTCCGGACCGCGTGGTACCAACCTCCGAATCGCGTGGTACCAACCCCGACCGCGTGGTACCAATCCCCGGAAACTTCATTTTACGCATCGAGGTCCGTTAAATACTGACGCACTTTGAGAAATATTGTCTGATGTGGTGGTGAGTTGTTAGTGTTCATCGTGGATGTCCTGTCCAGTAGATGGTCCGGAATTCCGTGATATTCAGGGTCCTTATTTCATTTTTTGATCGATAATGAGTGAATTGAGTGAATTCTGGTTAGAATAGCTATAAGTGAATAAATTGGATCTTATACCTTATGTGGTTATGTGGCGATTGGATTTAAGTAAATGATGATTAGACAAAAACAAATGCCAAGTGGTAGATGACAGATAAGTAATGCCAGTTCTGATAAGAATCTTACTGGGATTGCAAAATGTACCAGTTTTCGTTTAATTGTGCATTCATACTATTAGAGGTTTGTTTTACTAAAAGTGAAGGCCATAACGGAACGATAATGAACGGTAATGTGAATCCATCTGGAAAAGTGCGAAGATGTCGAATTTCACGAAACAAAAAGCGATACTGGAAAAAGGGTACAGAAATCCAAGATGCGGAGGATTTTCTCTGTGGAATTCAGAGTGATGCTATTAAAGGTAGATCAGAAATATTTTCTAGTTTCGGAGACATGCACAGTTTAGAAGAGATTCAAAAAAAGAATTCCTAGGTTGAAATAAGTTTTTTTCATTGATTAATCGCTGCTATGATGAATTAACTTAGTAATCACTTTTGAAGCATTTTATTAAAATGGACTTTACTTAATTTCATGTGTAAAAAAGCAAAGTGATGGCAGTCTGTTTACCGCTGACAAGGAACATAATCACATTAATCTTAAACTAACCAGACGACAGAGGGCAGCTTCAATGAAGAGATTAAAAAAGATAGAGTTAGTTTGTAATTATAATGGTTATGGATATTGTTTGTTGTTATCTACCTGTCGATAGGTAATGCTTAGTTTTTGAGAACAATTATCTTTTATTGTTTTAAATGAAACTACAGCAAGGTCGTATCGAAAAGCGAGCTGCATGATTGGATTATTGTTCTCTACTAATGATAATTTTGTGCCTATAATCAAAATGGATTTTTTTCGTTCAGAATTTTTGTGATTTTGCTTTAGACCTGTAGAAGTGGAGGAAAATGTTTCTAAACGGCATCTGAGAAAGTCGCTTCTGAAAAAATCGAAAATGCCGGTCAAAACCAAAGCTAGTTCTTCAGAAAGTACGGCAATCGAGGATCGAAAACCTTATGATCTTTGGGGTACGGATTTTTCATAACCGAAGTTCTTAGTAACATTAACGGTCATTAGTAGTTCGAAAATTGTTAGACTTATTCTGTATCTTATGTTTGCTGTAAAATTTTGCTAATCATCTGAAAGAGAAGGTAGAGCTCGTTGCAAAGTGGAGGGACGGATTCTGATGAGCTTTCCATTTGGAGATGTCAAAAGTAAGATTTTTGAAGTTCAAGTTATTTAACTGCTGTCTTGAAATTGCTTTAAACCTATAAAATTATTTATGAGTTATGAATTTTAGTGTAAGTCGTTCTGCCGATATGGTGATTTAATTTTGAAGTTTAATTCTCTTCTTTTTAAGGCCCACACTTACAAAAGGAAATGTCGGTAGCAGAGAACTACTACCTTCTAACTACCAAAAAAAAGCCGCCAAAGGAACCGAGAACTTTGAGGCATATAGCGAGCATATTACAGCATGTGGAAATTGCCCCGACGGGTGCCTCATATAATCCGCCTGTGTCTAAATATTTGGTCAGTGGATTAAAATTTTTATACTTCTCAAAAATTTGAAACCCATTTCTAGGAAAGGAATATATGTTTTAATGAAGGTTATGCATGTTTTTCACTCGCTGAGAATTTTTTCGAAACTTTGACGATCTACGCTCAACTATTTTTTTCTTTTTTTGGATTTCGTTAGAATCATTTTTTCGTTATGCTTCATGGTTTCATAATTCATTACCTCTTTCTCCTGTCTTTTCAATTTTTCTGCTCTTCTTACTGCATTTTTCTACTAAAAACGACTCTCAAATATCAGTCCTTGGAACTTCTAATTGATGATTGGCTACTAACAACTTCAAATCTATGAGACATGTAACAGAAGTGAATTAATCAAATATGTCAAGTTTGTCAGCACAAGTTAAACATTGTATTTCAGGATTATGTTACCGGAGTAGCCGAAGAAGAAAAGAAAAAAATTAAAGAAAGTGAAAAGCTGGAGCGTGAGCTTGCACTACTTAAAGGGAAATGTGCCACGCAAGTTTGTATTGTTCTTCACCTTCTGCATCTTTGTCAATGATTGCTTCCTCAGCAATTGTGATTTTTGTTTTCGTCATTTCTTCTAGAAATATTTTAGGAAGAAATAGAATTGGAATTAAGGGCAGGTCTTGACGGTGGTGATGATTACGATGACGAAATTCTAATTGATGAAAATGAAATAGAACAGAACGACTGTGGAGGTGAGTTAAGGTTTATCAAAATTTTTTCCTCTCATTTTTTATCACCGTGTTCAGATTATTTGCAAATTTGTAATTTTTTTAAGAAAAAAGGCCAATCATTAAGCGAAAAAAAAAGAAAACTCGATATTTGGAATACATGGAACGAAAACGGAAAGAAACTGAAAATATATCTGCATTCCAAAAAGAACAGATGCACCTTATTTATTCGTGAGTACTTCACAATTTTGTAAAAAAAAATTATGCTTAGCAAGATTAAATCATTGTTTTAATGACAGATTTTCATTTTTTTTCAAAAACTTTATACTTCTTAAATTATTAAAGAGCTCGGAAATTGAACAAAGAAATTAGTAAAGAAATACAAAAACGTATGGAATTTGCGAAGAAACGGAAAGAGCACAAAGTTAGTTATACTTTTTTAATCTTTTTACTATCTGTTCTAGTTTTTGTATTGTTTTCCTTTTATTTTCATGGCTTGTTTGTCTAGTGCTGAAGTTATTTTTGAAAGTGATTAATGCAGTAGAAAAAAATTTAGTGAGTTTGAATTAACTGATATGATGTTAGCCGATATTTTTATATCAGTTCTTCACGATATATTTTTCAGCTGATGAAAAAATTTGCCGGTACACAACGTTTGGGTCGCGGGAAGTTTGAACCGTGTGAGGAGCCTGTTTTATTAACTGAAGAATTGCCTGGTTCTTTGCGGGAATTAAAGCCGCAGGTTTGTTTTGTTGGGCTGTTTCTGGAACTACCTTTTTTAGTCACTATCTGTTCTAATTTTTGTGGTTTTCCTTTATTCTTTCTGATGAATATCATTTTTCTTCATCCACTAACAAATGAATTTATCTTTTTGTTTTTTTTTGTTCAAATATGAAACTAATCAAAAATTTGAATATTTTTCCTTAAATTAAATATTTTAATGGATCTTATAGGTCTAATCAATTAAGTATTTTAATGAATCTCATGGGTACAAATACGAAATATGACTCCACGTTTGACTGGTGTTATGCATATATTTCTGCAGGAATGTCTTTTCACTTCTCACTTTTCTTTCTTCGACTAATGGGAGTCAAATGTTATAGGGCAGTATTTTGACAGAACGCTTGAAGAGTTTGCAAAAAAGGAATATGCTGTCGATACCCGGAGAAAAGCGACATAGGAGAAAATTAAAAAACAAGTTGCGAATTAAAGAAAGAGAAGACAGGAAACATCAAGAAGTGAAACTTGGTACGCATTTGATATGATACCGGTACAGCTCGTTCGATCATTTACTTTTTTTAATTCGTTTGTTTATTGTTAGTCCAAAAAACAGAATGAATAAATCGCATAAATTGATAACAACACCCTATAAAGAACAACACTAGAAGATGCCCTTGTTATCGGTGAATTAATTTCAGAAGCAATTAAAAAGGCTATTACTAAAAAAATTCTGTAAAAAAAATTTTGTGGAAATTCTCAGTAGTGGAGAAGAAAATCGTGTATAACCTATCCGCGAAGGAACAGTTAACATAAACAAGTTTTGTATCCAGTGACATCTGTTGTTTAAGTTTTGGTTTCATTCGCGGCTTATACAAAATCGTCATTGGCGATTTACTTACGAAATCGTTATTGTTAAATAACGGAAAGGAGTTGACAGTTAGTAAAATTGCTAATAGTTGACAGCGGAAGATAATTGTAGAGTACCATCAGATGCTTTAAATATAGTTTGTTATGTGACAATTTTTATTGTGACACTAGTACGTTATTTCACTCATTGTATTCCTAGGTTTATGATTGTCTTTCAGAATTTTTTAATGCAGCAAAAAATAATGTTAACTGTTAAAATTTGACCACCTTAACCATATTGATCATTTATTTCTTGCACATTTCATTGCAAAGATTTAATACCGCGGATACTGTAGTTAGATATTAGCCTTGGTTTCAGAAGAACAAGAAAAATGTAATAGTCATTCATGTATATGTTGGAAGTACATAATTAATACCGTCGTAACAATATTTGAAAAATTGATGCCTGTTAGGCCATTATTAGGCATGAATAATGAGGTGGATAATGGTATGTTATGTTTGCGCGCAAGCTGTACACAGCAACTAGGTATGATGATAGATTTAGATGTGCGCATCCATTCATTCTTCAAACTAACCATTGACTGTGCAAAAAGTTACAAAGATTGTTATCATGGCATAATTCCAGTAAAATAGTGATCTTAGTGAGATGTAAGACTGTTACGGAAGTTGGATTTTTATGTAATGATGGAATATTCAAAGAGAGGAGTGAATGAGCGAAAAGTAGGAAAAGATGTTGATCCTTCGGTGAAGAGGGAATTTCTCGGCTGAAAAATAAATGATATTTTGTAGATGAGAATAAGAGAGAGAAAGAAAGAAAGAAAGAAAGGTGGAGATGATAACGATGACCTAGTGACCCGATTTCCAGAATTAAAATTATTAAGTGGGATGGTGATTTCTCTAAATCATGTATATAGGGGCAATGTGTCCGCACATACAATTTCATCACGTCCATTCTCTTTCATATTTTAGTATCCGTTCAACCTTATTGAATGATTGGCTACCTCAATACGGACTTCGTGATTTCATTCCAATCCCCTACGGGTTAAGAGGATCCATTCAAAAAAAGACAGTAGCATTAAAAGACATTATTCAAACATCAAACAGTAGCGGCTAAATATTTGTCATATATACCAAATGTCGATGAATTAAAACGAGAAATGTTAACTTGTTCAATTTCATGTACAGAAACGAAATTCTATCAAAAGTGTCCATACATCTATGTTCAATTAAAATACATAAAATTAATAAATTCAATTCAGCGAAATATAAGCTTCACATTGCGACAATTGAAAATCATTATGTATGATGCATGACAATATGAATTTACATCAATTTATTTGGTATGATTAAAATAATTTTCCATACTGATCAAGAATCTTTTATCAATAATTATTCTGCTTTAAGCCTGATAAACCTTTTCAGTGATAATATGATTAACTAATCAATTTATCATGAACGTAGTAATTGAGATGCCAAAATTTAGCAATGCTGAATTGCGAAATTTCTCAAGAGAAGTTATTATTTGTTCTGCTATTAATTATATTTTAAAATTTTAAAAGGTCAAGCAAAGAGTAATATTTAATTCAATAACTCAGATATACTCTAAATGTGTTGTATTCATTAAATGTATTGCTGCCAGCTGAATTGTTTACACTCTATGACTGAATTAAATTTTAAATTAACAAATTTGAAAATAAATACTAAAATAAAATATAATTCAGAAATGCGCAAAAAATAAAACATAAATGTAATAAAACATAAACATAAATATAAATAAACATAAATAAAATATAACATAAATGATAAGCGACAGAAATTTGGAGACTGAAAGTTGTTTGTTCATTTTAATTTTATTACTAATAATATTGATAGGTTTAAAAGATTTAAATATATGCAATAAGTTTGTTGATGTTAGCATTTCGATAATTTGATTTACAGTAATATTTGTCAATAAATACAGTAAGTGATTTATTAAACTTAATTTAGTGAAATTTTAAAATTTAGTAAAAGAATAATTCTTCTTTATATTGAACTTTTCAGGTTAAAAATGTAGCAGTTAATTATTGAAAAATATTTAGGACAGCAATTAACGCAAAGAAAATTTCCTTACCAATAAAACGTTAACTTTCAATATAACCTTTTATTCAATTCTCAAAATATTTTCTACAGGTAACTTATCAGATTATCCATACATTACTTAAAATAAGAATGCTATTATTATTATTACTAATAAGATATAAGTTGATTGTAAAGTTATGTTAATTAAAGTTATGTTAATCACATTACCTAAAGTTATGTTCGCTTTACCTTAAGTTACTTAACCTTTTGCATTTATTTCTGCGAAGTTTTGTAATCAAAAATTGATTTAACAATTTTCCTTTCAAATTTTATTTTTCTATTTTTAAATTATAAAAATTTGTAATAGCCATATATTTTATTGTTTTAAATTAACTGTTAATATCAAAGAAAATGAAACGTTGTAAATAATTTAATTCATTGAATTTTTTGTTTTGAAAACGAACTATCTTTTAAATTTTGAAATTACAATTATTAAATTTTGTTTGTTTCAAAATAATTAATCATAATTTGCAATTGAAGTGAAAATTTCTCATATCTGCTGGTAACATCAAAAATAATTAATTTAATATTTGAAAGGGAAAAAAAATTAGCATTGTAGAAAGATGATGTGTCACCCATATTGCTATTGCTATCTCAAATTCAATGAAATTGAAAGTGGACAACAGCAAACAATTTACAATTGTAGGAGAAAGTTTTATTATTGGGTGAACGAAAAAAGAGCGATCCATCAATTTTGTCGGTCTGTATGTGTGTGTATCTGTTGGCCTACATACTAATGAATATGTATATAAGTGTATGTGTACGCATGTGAATAATGATGATGATAGTGATGATGGCAATGATAATGATGATAATGATGATAATAATAATGATGATGATGATGATGGTGATAACGATGATGATAATAATGATGATAATGATGATGATGATGATGATGATGGCATGGTGTATGGGTGGAGGAGATAAAAGTGAAAATCTGGGGAAATAGGTGACCGAATTGCGAATGTATTTTCGCTTTCATTTTGCATTTCATTTCGAAGCGTCGAACCGATTCCAGCAATGACGTCCTTATCGCATCCGTTGCCACATTTTCCCATCAAGGTATGATATGTGTTGTTAGATCTATTATCATCTACGGATATCCTTCACTTTCTCCTAATGCTACGCAATAATAACAAAAAGTCTTTCTCATTGAATTTCAAATTGTTGCATATTTTTCATTTTTGAATTCATAATTAGCAAGAAACGAATTTTTTTTTCAACGATACATATTATAGGATGAAATATATATCTATCACTATTATAGTTATTATAAATGAAATTTTGTATAAATTATAAATTGACAGCTAATATTTGTATAGTGATTTTGTAGTGATTCTATTTAACAAATTAATAGCGATATTAGAGATTGTATAGTGATTCCATTCAACAAGTTAATAACGATATTAGAGATTGTATAGTGATTCCATTCAACAAGTTAATAACGATATTAGAGATTATATAGTGATTCTATTCAACAAATTGATAGCAATATTAGAGATTGCATAGTGATTTCATTCAACAAATTGATAGCGATATTAGAGATTGTATAGTGATTCCATTCAACAAATTGATAGTGATATTAGAAATGCAAGGGAAATTAATAAGTAACTGAAATGATTGAGAAAGAATAATTTATAGAAAAAAAAAGAGTATTTCGTTAATAATTGCTAATTACTTTTAATTTAAAACTTTGAAGAATGAAATAATTTATCGTTGATAGTATAAAAAAAATATTGCGAGGATGAAATTTTGTACGAGAAACTTATTAATAATTTACAATTAATTATTCATTTAGTTGGTTGTAATTAATAACTAACTATAATTTTTAAATTAATAACTGAATTAATAATTAACTAAATAACTATTAATAAATAATAAATTGATAACTAACTATAATTTTTTTTTTTTTACTTACAATAATAACTAATTATAATTCTTACTGCAAAAAGTTCAGTTCACATAGACCTATCCGATTTTCTTTTTTAATTACTATTATCAAAAAATTTTCCTAATTTATTATGCTAAAGAAAAATAAAAGTATTTTCTTAAATTTATCAAAATCTTAAAAGAGCTAAAAGTTGAAAGCTTTTGTTAAATTAAAATATTAAGTTTAATTATAAGCATACTGAGATAGTTATATTGGAATTGAAATTTTACTTAATTAATATATTTTTAATTCATTTGTCTTTTTATCAATCATTAAATAATTATCTACGCAAGCTTCTCATATGCGTAATTACTTAAAGTAATTAAGTAATTAAAGTTTTCAAATAGAAAATATATGGGAAAAAAGTTTTCAAAAAAGTTGACCGTTATGAAATTTCATTATTCATTGGTATTTTTTCCCGTTCTATCATTCAAAAACATTTCAATGAATGAAAGAATAAATGGAAGATCATGCTTGATAATTATACTGATAACGAGAATTATCATTCTTAGCGGAGATTTTACATTAGACACTTTAGGGTTGTGATTGATCGAATGAAAATTTGATCGAATGAAGATATATATAAGATGGAAGTATTAATGAAAATGAAATGAAGAAAATGAGAAATATTTGCTGTTATCTTTCTTATTGAAATAAATCCAATAAAAGTTTCATATTTAATGGTACCAAAAAAATAATGGAATATTTCATGATAGTGATAATTTTACTTTTTTAAAATTAAATTTAAATTTTTTTTTTAAAATTAAGAACGATAATTTTGCTTTTTCTTTTTGAATTAAATTTACAATTAAATATATTATTAATTGGATATAATCAATTTTGAACATAATCAAATCATTAATTACTAATAGTTTCATTTCTTTCTGTTCAACACTATCCTATTTTTTCAATTCACCAATTATTAATTTTTTTCCAATTAAATTTTAGAACTTTTTTTTCACAACAATAATTTTTTAAAGTTCTTATATTCCAAAAGAGTAACTTAATAGCACTGATAACCCAATCATTCTAGTATCATAGAGCACTGATAACCTAATAATTCTAGTATTATAGAGCACTGATAACCCAATCATTCTAGTATTGTAGAACACTGATAACTCAATCATTCTAGTATCATAGAGCACTGATAACCCAATCATTCTAGTATCATAGAATAGTATTACTATATATTAAGACTATAAATTCAGGATAATTTGGTGATACACTTCATGAAAAATGGACAAAAAAAATTTTGCTTCATTTGTTGAAAGCATAGAATAAGCGAAAAATGAATGAATAAAATAAAATAGTTAAATATAAAATTTGCTTAAAATTAAATGAATATTTTATAGTTTTCTTTCAGTGTTTTTTGGAAGCTTTTCTAACAAATAATTTGGATGATGCGGAAAAGTGGCCTTATCATTTGTTTATCTGATAAAGCTATTTATTTACTTTTAGATTGATTGGTAGTGATAATCTTCATTTAGCAATATTGATTATTTGTTCATCATATTGACACTTCTCATTATTTTAACAATCATCTCTTCCTAAGCTCTTCGCATTTTTAGATACATATTTTCATTTAATACAAATATTTCAAAAGTATTGCTTAATTACAACTTTGCTAACTATATCATAATTTTCTGCATTGATAATATTTACTGCAATTTTTCAGAGTTTCCTGCCACACGATTTGTCAACATATAGTACCATGCCACATCTATCGCATACATCTTTGATGAGTCCACTGGTTAATCCATTCGTACCCTCAAATATCCTCAACTTGTTTCAAGAAGATACAAAACAATCCTCCGGAAAACCATCATCATCATCATCATCATCATCAATACCTGCCTTACGACCATTTCGCATTTACGATCCAACTGATCAAATTAGCGCTCTCTCTATGCCTCCTCCAACCGATTTTAACAATTTAAAAAGCGATAAAGTTATCAACGAACAATCTCCTTCTACACAGGTCTTTACCATTTCTAATTAATTGGCTTATTATTTTGCATAATTATGCTCAAAATCTTATCGTGCAGAATTTATACCAATTAATCAACTTAAAATTAAACTGAAATTAATCAGATATATGAACTGAAATTAAATCCATTAATTTAATGGCTTATAAAAAATTTGTCATACTACAAAATTTCAATCAAATTTTAAAGAGTTGTTTAATCTAACTATAACAATTCCTTCGGTTTATTTTCTAACTTCACTTTAATTTAAATTTGAATTTTGAATCTAAAATTTTAATATCAATTTCTTGTACCATTTTGTATTATTTAACATTTTCATCGCATATATCAAACTTCGTTCACTTCTATCATTTTTTCAAATGTTTTATTAATTAGGATTAATAAATTAATTAAAAAATTTCAAATCATCTGTCATTTTCTTGTCCATCTTTGCTTCTCACTGTATACATTAAGTCTTTCATTAAGATTAATTGTTATTGATATTAATCTTTTTAAGGTACGAATTTCAGAATTTACAAAAGATATAAATTTCAGAATTTTAATTGACCTAGTAGAAAGCTAATCTATTCAAAATTTTTCCTACAATTAGCCTAGTCGAAGATTAATTTAATCTATCTCTAAAATAGCTAATAATTGAATAATAATTGATATGTTAATAAATTCTTGAGAAGGTATAGAAATGCCACCTCTTTTCTACATATCAAAAGTGAACCCATACATACTATGAAATATTTCATTTTATAAAGCCTTAAAGTTATCACTAAACTGATGCTAAGCATTTATCATATCATTTAACATAAATGAAACATTATTTGCTTTAATTAAATGAATATTTTAAAATTGTCAAAACCTAAGTTATTCGTTAATTAAAAAGAAACAGTAAAACAAAAAAGATTAAAATGAAAAAGAACAAAAGGGGAAAAAAATTGAGTCGAATTAATTTTATTAGAATTTCTTAGAATTCAAATTTTTGAATGGAAATTTTAAAGCCTTAAATTGCATGAGTTTTGAAAATGAAATTGATGGATATTGGTGTTAGTAGGGCAATCCTTGTCATCTGTCATCCATCCTGAATTTTATTCAAATATATTTTCTCCCTCAATTTATCCTCATCTACTACATTCATTTCAAAAATAATTAATTCTTAATTCAATGAATGAATAATGATTGCAATCAATCAATTTTCCATTAAATAATAAAATTGATTATTAATGTTATAGTTTAAATAATAATTTAAAAACAATTTTTCTTAATTGATAGAAATTGCTAGAACAATTATTGTTAATGAAAATTATCAATAAATGATAATTAAAAAGTTAAAAAAAAACAATTGATAGAATTTAATTTTTCAACTTATTTATTTCAAATGTTTTATGGAATTAAAGATTTAATTTTATTCAAATTTTTAAATTTTTCAATTCATCATTTTTTTCTCTTTCCCTCTCTCTTCTTTCCCTTCACTTTTCATATTCATTCTCATTTATTCCATTTGTAATAATGAAATTTTGGGAAGAAAATTGTTGAGAAAAAATGAAATAAACTTCAAATTTATTTTATTAATTAACACATGAATAACGGTTATTTTCCATAGTGAAAGAATTTGTGAGAAATTTATCAATTAGTTAATGATAATTTCTAATGAATAATTAATTAATTACATGGATTGTTTTTGAGACGATATCTTTCATTTAGTTTAATTTCATAGAGTGTTTTATTTCACGATAAATTCTGTTTAAATCGGAATAACAAATGAATTTCTAATTGCATTCCAGGTTACATCATCAACTTCTGATACTGACGTGACAGCTGCACAACGTAAGGTAATTGTCCGTAATGAAACAGTTCGAAAGAAGAAAGAATTGGTCAAAGATGAAGCATATTGGGAAAGACGTAGGAAAAACAATGATGCCGCTAAAAGAAGTCGTGATTCTAGGCGGCAAAAGGTTGATTTTCTTTGTTTGAAAGCATTAAAAATGCTGGCTGGCAACTATCTATTAAGAAAGTATCTAATTTTTGACCTCTTAAAAAATCTTTTCAAATTTTTATTATTTTTTGCGTGATATTTCTATTGTATGTATTTCCAATACATATTAGTAATTTGAACAAAATTGAATGAATTTTACTTACTACTGATTTAGGAAGATGAAATGACACTTCGGGCAGCGATGCTTGAACAAGAAAATATTCGTTTACGACTGGAAGTGGAACATTTACGAGCAGAAGTTGATCGACTTCGAGTGTTAGTCCTATCGCCTACAATTTTACCTACTCCACAAGCAATAATCTCATCTCCGACAACTGTTTTACATGTACCTCAACCACAACAACAACAACAACAACAACCTCTTCCATCAACACCTTCTGTACCATTATTGCCACAACAACAACCTTCCGCTGTAGCATCATTATTTTCTTTATCACCTGCAACATCAACAGCTGTCACTAGCCAGTGATATATAATAATTAATATTACTTATTATAGTGATACTCATACTCAAAATGGTACACCTAGGAATTTTTATTTTAAAATTTCGCAAATATTTTATCAATAGATAATTTTTATTTTCATTAAAAATGTTTGGTGCTACCGATTTTGACAGAAGTATCGCCAATATATTACAGCGGTATTTGCATGAACGCTGAGTATATATATGGTATATGTATATATATATACTGTTGCTGTAACTATTGCAATATTTTAACCTACAAAAACATATGTTTCCGGGTTCCTCCAATCCCAGTAACTTGAAGTTCCAACCTTTTTCCAGTACCGGAAATCCATGGGATTTTTCTTTTTTTATTAAAGGATGCAAAAATTGAACATATTTTAGACTACGACAGAAGGGGTAGTGAGTGAACTATTCGCTTTCCTCATAATACGTCTTACAAGGCTGATCTTATAGCATTCCTTACTAATCAGCTCAAATAATTGAAATTTGATCACTCGCCACCTCTTAATCATAGTATCACATTTACTACCTAAATAACTACCTGATTCTGTAAACTTACTACGAAATCTTCTATTTCACAGCTAACTGAACCATAAATATGATTGCTACTTTCTTCTATTATTTTACCGTATCATTTTTTTGTTCATCTCTCTAATTTGAGCTTAATTAAAATTATTTCTTCTTCATTTTCTTTACTTTGTAAATTTAAATTCTAATTAATTTTACCAAAAATTTTCAAGGAAAAAAGTGACCTTTTTGCTAATCGAAAAATTTTCAACGTTCAAAAAAGTTATTTCATTTTGAATTTTCTTCTTCCTCTCTTTTAATTTCACATATAACGTGAAGTATAGTTTAATTTATGTAAATTCTCAGGCCTGTGCAATAATAATAAAGTAAAAATGAAAATTTTAATATTTATAAAAAAATACAATGAATTTGTTAATTACATTGTTTTATGTGACATAAAATAATAATAAGTATGAAAGTGAAATGATGAATAAATGAGAATTCAAATATCTCTTTGTATGACTCATCTTAATCCATTTCATTCTTTTTGTTTTAATAGTTAAAAATAATTAAACAATAAATTAAAAATTATTCATACTATTATAGATTTTCAATTTTAATTATTCAAAAGATTTTCAATTTATATTATTTCAATTAAAATTTAGTGATCAACATTCAAGCAATGAATATGTATGTAAAAACAAGAGTTAACTTATTGACAAATTTTTAATGCTTAAAGTTTGTCAATAGAATATCAATAGAATTTATTTAAGATTCAAAAATGATGAAAGAAATAAATTGAATGTATGCGAAATTTAAAAGTTAGATTTTTCACAAATATTGCTGTTGCATGAATTTTGTCAACTTATTAAAATTCAACTTGATTAAAGATTATTGATAAATTAATAATTAATAAAGAGACTATTGATATTTATAGGGACTATTGATAGACTACTGATAAATTAATAGATGAAGATTTAAATGGTTGAAGACTATCGATAAATTAATAATTAATAAAGATTTAAATTGAAATGCAAAAAAATAATACAGGAAAAATTACAGGAAAAGAAATTCAAGTATCAACCGAATAATTCCAAAAATATAATAAACATTTGATATGATATTAAACAACAATATATGAAATTTAAATTTTGTTAGCTAATCATTTAAAACAATTTGAATTTTTGTTTTAAGAACGAAAATACTTCGTACATCAAAAAAGTATTAGAGTTTAATGAGCATTTTAAATTTATGCCAAAATAATTTCTACATTATTCTTCTTCTTGAATGTAATCAAATAGGAACAATTATATTTTCGAAAATGAGTAAGAAATAAATTGTTGAAATCTTCGATCATCAAAATAAGTAGAAGATGATGAGATTGAAAATTTGAAAAGACAAGCAAACCACTGATCATATTCTCTCTTTTCAAATTTTATTCCAGAATTTCGGAATAATATATTCTCTCTCTCTCTCTCTCTTCAAATTTTATTCCAGAATTTCGGAATAATAATTGCATTCATAGGAATATTCTAAAATCGGATGTAAAGGTTTAGAAAATTTGATAATACATTTAAATCTTAAAATGGAACATACAATATCATCAATGGTTACTGAAAACATCAACAACAAAATTGGCATATTCTAATCCTGAAATATTTGAATGAAAAAAAATCATGAAACGGAAATTACATGAAAGAAATGGAAGAAGTTAAAACGGAAGAAAATTGCAATGCATTGATATTTTTCACAAATGAAATTCGTGAAAAATTATAAATGAAACTAACATTAATTAGTTAAAACAATGAAAATATTATATAAATAAAAATTACTACAAAAAAAGAAATTTTCAATCGATTCTTTCTTCCGTCTCCAATTCCACAACACATATACCATCCGGACGTTGTTTCCGGAAATTGAGATAAAAACCCCATTGATTGCAACTAACTGCTAATTTCATTTTAATAATATCATTTCGTGACAAACATGAAGCTATTCCTTCTTCTTCTTCATAAACATTTAAAATACAAGGAATAGCCATTCCGGGGTGAGTAATTGTTGTTTGATCCTAAAAATTTTTTAATAAATTAAATTAGTTTTACTAATTAAATTAATTAAATTAATTAAAACATTTAAATTAATTCTGTTTTTTTTTCACATTTTATTTATATATTTGTTAACAATATAAAATAATACAACAGTTTTATTTTATAACATCTAATTCATCATTTTAAATTATTACTAATTTCATATTCCCAAAGTATTAAATTATCATGAATCAACATCAAAAAGGATAATATTATAAAAAGAAAATATTGTTATTATGATTATAAAAAGGTACAAATGAATAATAAGTACCTGGTCAGCAATTGACCACAATGTATTATGTTCAACCCATTCATAATTACCATAATCAATGTAAAATACTTCAACAAGATTTTCACATATCGCTGTTATTACCGCACGAAATTTTGCATCAAAACGTTCACAATATGCGACACATAATGCGCCAATGACCTGAATGAAAACGAAATTTAATAAATTATGAAAATGAAAAGAAATGAATTTAATTTATAATAAGTTTCAAAAAATGTTTACATTTTCTATATGATAATTTATATCAATCGATATCAAATATTTGTTAATTTTACTAATATAACATCAAAATGGTAAAAATTCAAAAATTTCCTTACTCCTAAGTAAGTGATAGTATCAGATATTATGATAGAAATTTATTAGCTATATCATTTATCAGTTAAATGTCCATCATAAATATCCTAAATTTATCAGCTAAATATCCATCCTAAATATTTCCATTCATTCTTCCTACAAATAATTGATAGTATCAGATATTATGATAGAAATTTATCAGCTATATCATTAAATATCCATCCTAAATATTTCCATTAATTCTTCCTAATAATAATTGATAGTATCACATTTTGATAGAAATTTATCAGCTATATCATTAAATATCCATCCTAAATATTTCCTTCCATTCATTATCAATTCCATTACCATTTCCGCATTAGCAAGTGGAGTATTGGCAATTAATGAATCTAAATGTGCTTCCAATATTTGTTGACATTCAGTTGATTGTATTTGCACGAAGAATAATGGCCATAATGATGATGCTATATCTTCGTCTGATCGTGAAACTGCATATCGTTGTCCAAATTCTACATTTATATGAGAAAAATAAGCCTGAAATTACGTCTTTCAACAAATTAATTAGTTCAATAATTGTACCAAAAATATATTAGAAACTAGCAGCTAAAATTCAAAATTAAATAAATCTTTGAAAGTTATCAAATTTCAAATTTTGAAGTTTTACTTTTGAAATAACGCTTAATATAGTTATTTCAGATTAAATTAAAATTACCTTATATTTTAGTGCAATTTTCAATTCTTCTTTTTCATCATTATCATCATCCGATAGCAATTTAATATCATGATCCAGATTTACGCTATTCTCCATCTAAATTTTTTTTTTTCATCATTTAAATTTTTGAAATAACACTTAATATAGTGTGTTTCAGATTAAACTTTAAATTACCTTATATTTCAGTGATTCGTCTTTTTCATCATCATCAACCGATAGCAATTTAATATCATGATCCAGATTTACGTTATTCTCCATCTAAATTTCTTTTCATCATTTAAATTTCAAAATTTCAGAAAAAAATTTTTCATCATTTAAATTTTTGAAATAACACTTAATATAGTGTGTTTCAGATTAAACTTTAAATTACCTTATATTTTAGTGGTTCGTCTTTATCATCATCATCATCATCCGATAGCAATTTAATATCATGATCCAAATCTAGGCTATTCTTCATCTAAACTTTTTTTTCATCATTTAAATTTCATGATCAGTGCTGGAATTATATTAATTGTTTTCTGTTAATTCAATCTTTTGCATAAAATAATTCGAAGTTTTTTTTTTACTACAAACTATACTTCTTAATTTTTATAAAACAAAAGCATCACTATATTACATTATATCATATGTTACATATACTTTCATTTCTTCTACCTTTTGATAACAGACAATTCTAAAGAAGAAAATTTACTAATAAAATTAGAACTTAGATCAAATCCCATTTTAATTCCATTGTTTATTAATTAAAAAATACGAAGCTAATTTTGTTCTATGTGAAAATTTCACAAATTCATTTAAACTATTAAAATATTATGAATAAAAAAATTTATTTTCAAATTTGAATTACCTTCTTAACATCGTCATCAGAATCGCAATTCATCGTTAGATAATTCAATTCATCGTCAGAAGATTCATCACTCGTATACAGCACTCTTCCTTTTTCATCACGTGGCTTATCAGTTGCTTTCTTTTGCTACAAATACAACGGTAAAATGATTATCAGATATTTATCAGTAAAAAAATATATATATTTTTTTTTGTTTTCTCACAAGTACATTTAAAAATGATAATTAAAAACAATTCACTTGAGATCCAATTAACGGATTGATTTAAATTGTACCTCTTCCGATAATTGACCTCAAAAAGAGTGGTTTCCATGCTTTTTTTCCTTACTACTACCTCTCTTTCTCTCTCTCTGAGAGTGAGATAGTGATAATAAAATAGATGAATAATTTGTGTTCCTGCTATCCTTGTATATGGCAGTCATTTCTCAGAAATTCTTCAACACATATTTAGAGATGACATGAATCTATGATAACATATCATCTTGACTTTAATCACATCTCAATCCGATATGTAAATATTTCTCTTATCTATCTCCATATTGATTAGGCTCTTGAATAAATATGATAAATGTTAGAAAAATAAGTGATGGAATTTATTTAGAATATTTTGTATAGTGATAAGATGATACAAAAATTGCTCTTACATTTTCCCAAAAAGTGACATTTTCAAAAATGATAAATACTTCATAAAAGAAATATAAAATTGTAAAAACTTTCTGATATTATTATTAGATGGTAATTATTAGATTACCTGTACCTGTTTCATTTCTTGAGCTAAAAATAAAATAGTTGGCGGTGTTGATTGGCAATATCTTGTCAGATGGCCAACTTTTCCACAAATCCAACAGGATTCTGGCATATTCTCAAAAAAGATATGAGAAGATCGTTTGTTAGAAGGGAAAATTTAAATCTATATAAATTAAAAAAATTTTATAAAAAACATAAATACTTGATTTTCCGCTTCGTGGGAAATTTTGACAGATGCAACAGTGCTTGAATCATTTCTCGTTTCATTATTATTATTATTATTATTATTTGAATGAGATGTAGAGGCATCTTTCTTCGCTATAATAATTTCGTATGATATTAATTTCAATCGAACAAGAAAATAAGTGAAATTTATTACTAAATAAATCATTAACAAATATCAGAAATGATAGATGATTACTCAAAGTGAAAGAATTTAATTTGAATGCGGAAAAAGTAGGTAATAAATGAATTTGAAAAACGAATTAATAAGTTGAATGAATAATTTGAGAAGGAGAAAGAAGAATAATAACTGTACCTACCTTGAATTGAAGGTAATGTTGAATTTGATTTATGATTTATCATTATTATCTCACGTTCTTCTTTCTGAAAAATTATTATGTTTAATAATTGCATTTATGCCAACCAACATACTAATACTTGCATTTATGTCAATATACTTTTAAATTATTAAATGTAATAAAATTTTAAGGACTATATTCGAGAAATGAATGAGAAGAAACAATTTGAGAATATTATTAGTAACAGGAATGTAGAAAATTTTAAAATAAATTGTAAAACAAAACTGTCGTATGATAGCAGAGCTAAACAACACTGAAAACACTATAGTGATCAAAATGGTCAAAAGCATTGATTTTAGGAGGCTTTATATGCACAAGGTCAGGAAGTTTCACATATGAAAGGTCAAGATGTCACATGTATACAAAATCGATATGATGGTAACGATGATGATGACGATGATGATGACGATGATGATGATGATGGTGACGATGATGATGATAGCGATGATGATGATGGTAATAGTGATGATGATTTGATGATAATGATGACGATCGTGATGATGATGATGGTGACGATGATGATGATAGCGATGATGATGATGATGGTAATAGTGATGATGATTTGATGATAATGATGACGATCGTGATGATGAAGACCAACATGAAGGATATAGTTCCATAAGATTCAATGGACTTCTTAAAAGATAGCGATGATGGGAATAATTGATGTGTTGTGCATCATTTCTATTCGAAGATTAAAAGTCTGAATAGAGAAGAAAGTAAATTTTTGAAGAATTCATTATTGCTCTTTATGAGGTTTATATTTTTATAAAAAATATTAGAAATGAAATTGCTGCATTTGAGTATCAAATTGATCGATTTATCGATTTATTAGCTGAGTCATCCTAAACATTCTTAGATGATCTTAAATTCTTAAATAATTATCTCTGCAATAATGCTTAACTATTCGTCACACAAAATTATAATGTTTTAGCATCGAAATTTCATGTAACATTATGGTATCTGAATTACCTTTATATTAGAATATAAAATTGATAATTAAAACAAATAGATTAGTGAACAAAGATCAGTTCAAAAGTGATTAGAATTTAAACTCAAACTTATAAAAACTACTGCAATAAAAACTTATTCAGTTATTGTAATTGCTGCAAATGTGTTCCGCTTGTAATTTACATTGTGAATTATTAATAGCCTTAAATTCTTTGGCTTGTTTCATTGTGCAGTTACAATATCAGTCGTGAAATTCTCTTCAGTAATTGATTGTTTTCTTTTTCTTGACCCCAATTGAATTCTTTTCATACCTTTCTGACTTTCTACTAATTCGTGATTTCTGCACTCATCATCAGTAGGAGAATTGGATCGTGATGATAATTGACTATCGGCAATTGAAGATGTATTTGAATTCTATATTATAAGTTACAATCATTCAGCTATCAGCAATTTTAATCTAGAGAAAAATTTTAGAAGAATAAAGATTTTTTTATAAAATTCACACTTAAAATGATAAGATGACAATGAAATAATTGTGTAGAAACAATGGAAAGGATGAATTGCATTTGTAGAAAATGTAAACAAGTTGGAAGAAAAATTATAATTTCCTGAAAACTATCGCAATAACTTTAATAAATGGATTTTATACGAATAAGTATATTTAATCAATTTCGATCATTCCTGAATAAAATCTAAAAAGATTACCTTAATTGATGAATGAATCGTTGATGAGGAATTGACAGAAATTGCAGAGGTACCATGAAGATTAGTTGATGGTTGTGGTGATGATGATGTATATGTGAATGATTGCAAATGTGTAGCATTCAAACGTGACATTGTTGAATGTCGGATCGAAGTGTTATTTGAGGTAATGAAACAACGTTGTTTAGTTTCCACATAAGCACCACAAAAGCAACATGATCTTAAAGCTTGATTTTCATGATCACGTTGTTGTGAACATATTGCACATCCTGGTATCATTGCTCGTAATTGACGTGGTTGTTGATAAAATTGTTGCGTAAAATTGATAGTATGCTGTTGAACTGCAATAATACAAGATTAAAAAAATAGATATGGAAAAAATGAGGTAAGTTGCAAATATTTCATGCTACTGATAAAGTCAATTGATAAAATCAGTCTTTAACACACCAGACCCAAATTATTTCATTTAATTCATTAATCGTTTATATTATGCAATTTTTGTTGACACATGAAGGGTGATTTTTTTTAAAGGTTTACCAAAGCTTCTCAAATATGATTTCTCTTTGAAATTAAAATATAATTTAATTGCTACACTAATTATTTGCTCAACTAGGTGTAAAAGAATAAACCTTGCTGATTGATATGATTTGTGTAGACATGAGATTGATGATCAGATTGAGATGGATGGTTTGCAAATGCGCATCTATGATTTTCAATGCCGTGAAAATAGCAACGCCCGTTTGGTACTACGATATTTGGTTGTTGCTGTTGTTGTTGTTGTCGTTGTTGTTGCTGTTGCTGCTGCTGTTGTTGTTGTTGTTGCTGCTGTTGTTGTTGTGGTTGTTGTTGTTGTTGATGATGGTGATAGTGATGGTGATGGTGCTGTTGAATATACTGCTGGGAAGGATATGTAACTGTTTGAAATCTAAAAATAGTTTTTAAATTTATATTATTATAATATATATCATTGAAAGCAATTTTTTTTAGCGCTTTCTCTACTTTAACCGTATATTATCACTTATAGTGAAGACGAATTTATGAGAAGTACAATGAATATAAATATAAAATGAGCTTTTTAGTAAATTATTGAAAGGTACCTTGAAAAGGGTGTTTGTCCAAGTAATGGTGATGATTGGCAATTGGTACCATAGAAAATATCTTTTCCATCACCTGCAGGAAATGATGATGTCTGATTTTGTATTCTGTTTTTTGGTGCTCCCTGTGCATCATTATATTGATATGTTTGCAGGAGTGGAAGCAAATTTGGAGTACCATTAACTAACTGAAATTAGTGTCCTTTGATAAAAGCATATTTCAGATCTGAAAATTTATAGAGTAGTAATAATCATAATGGATTACATTAATTACTTTCGAGGTAACATAAAACTTAACTAATAAATTTAACATATTAATGAAGAATGCGAATAGCTAATTCAATTAGCATTTTTTTCCACAAACATCTCGTTTGATATCTCAATTTTTGATTAATTGATACTCTAAAATTTTGCGATACCTGTAAGCTACGAAGAATGTTGAATAATTCATCGATTCGACTGGATATTTGTGCTAATTTTATACTGATCTTTAGATCCAATGCTTTTAAATTGTTGCTAATTTCTCTGAAATAATTTCATATACATTTTAAATATTTCTTTCTTTATGCTATCATTCATTTTATTGTATTTTCATTTTAAATATAATTTTATTACAACTGATATATGATTATTATCACTTAAAAATTCTGCATAAAACTTGATATGCATCCAACCATGCAAATTTATCTAAATGTTAAAAACATCCATTTTTATAACAGGTGAAAAATAATTTGAAAATTCTATTAAAATTTAAAAGATTAAAAGAGAACGAACTGATTAGAAGACATCTGCATACCAATTGCTGGAAACATTGTTCCTCTCATCTTCATCGAATTATTCTCATTATTATGATAATAGATATCATTATAATAATTGTTATTATTACTATTATTATTATTATTATTACTATCCAAAATTTCGTTACTTCGATTAATCGTATCGTTGTAACCTAACATTAATGATTGTGAATTATTAATTAGTATGCCATTTGATGTATCTAAATTTCGTGGATATTGAAAATCAGCCTGAATATGCATATCAATTGTTGCAGTGTAGTTTTTTTCATCTTCTTTCCCAATTATTTGAATAATATATCGTTCATCCACCGCAAGCTATAAATTAATTATCATTTTCAAACAAAACAATTATTTTCAAATTAGCTCTAATTAATTCAAATTAATTGTTGAATGATATTATAGTTTGCCATGTTTGTCGTTAATGTGTTTTCATTTTAATTTTAAATCTTCTTTTTCAGCAATAACATCCATATCCTCATCCATATACTTAAACTTTTAAGCTAATCAACCACTACAACATTTTTTTATTTTAACTTCCATTATCTACTCATCTAATCATTCTTCGTTAATTTATTACATTCTAAAAGAATGCTCCAAATTAATTCCATCACCTCTTTTTCATTCTTCAATTGTCTTAACTTAAATTATACTTATCAACTCTATTTTAAAATATATTCTGCATATTTTAGTTAATTTAATTTCAAATTATCGACAAATTAAGAAGTGCAAAATCACTTTTACTTTATTTTAGAAAATTTAATCGAAAAACAAAAAAAGTGATGAAAACCTTTGCAGCATGAATTCCACCTTCAATTGGATTCTTTCGACTTACGGCACACTCAAATGCTGCAGCAAATGAATATAAAACTGCTGGAGGCTGAAAACTATTGATAATTACTGATAATGTTTAAAAAGATTTACTTACTTTCGTAACCTTTTTATTGTATTGTTATGCTATTTCAAAAAATAAAGGCTTTTACCTGATCAAGGAAATTTACCATGTTTTTGAGAATAAAATCTTTTACCTGATCAGAGAGATCGTAAAGATGATAAACGTCGCAATATAATGTCTCACCATAATCAATGAGGAATACTGTACAACAACTTTTTTGATTATCAAAATTGCAAGCTATCGCACTGCAACAATTTGTTAATAAATTTATCAATTAATTAAGGTGGAAATAATTAATTCTCGTTGTACAGAATATTATCAAACAAAAAAATTTAGAATTAGCATTGAATAAGTCAGGAAAGGAAGGAGTAAATTATCTCTTTTATTCCTCATAAACTTCTATGGTTGAAATAAAAAGATAATATCATCTTAGATTTGAATAAATCAAACAATTAGTTTATCACAAAAGTATTTTATAAATAAAATTTTTGAAAGTATTCTATAAAATAAATTTTAATTTATAAAAGGAAGATTTCAACATTTTAAACTTAAATTTAAAATTTAAATTTTGCTATTATGACAAATTTGAAAGTATTGAGAAATTGCGCGTCGTAATTTATCCGTCTTTCTCTAATCTTTCGTATATGATATCACAAACTTAACCAACCGATAATAACGAGACTGTTTTCGCACAGGTCGTTGAATATGTGCAATACAAGCCAACGAACGCTTGTCTTCAATATATGGCCATAAACCATTAGATGGCAATACTATTTGCTTAAAGTATAACTTTCAATTTTTTAACACTGATAATACTCAAACTCGATGAAATTATTATTGAGTCTGAGAAAAACAACAATAAATGATCTAAATGAATGTGATTCGAAAGGTTGATAATCTCTAATCAACTGATAACAGCTGATTGATTGTAGCAAAAAAATATTGCTTTAAATTAAATGTTTCTATTTTACTTTTTTGAAATTTTTAATTTCAAGCGGATATAGATATTATTTCAATAGTTTCAACAAAGTTGAATTCTTGAATGCTGTTATCATAATCATTTGAATATGCTTTGACTTGTAAAAAAAATAACTGATATTGTGATTGTTAGTTGAAATGACAGATAGAAATATGTGACATTTGACATTTAGAGTATTAATTTTTGAGTTTTTAAATTTAAATAAAAATGACCTTGCTGATAATTGAACAAAGAGAAGCATCACGAAGCCAATAATGATTTTGGTCAATCTTTTCTGTTACACGTACAGTTAATGTTACTGGTAACGGATATTCTAAAGTGAATCGATTGAATGAAAATGTTGACGGACAATATAATGGACAAGTTGGATGATTGAGAGAAGTGATTTCTGGTAAACCCTGTAAAGATAAATTATTAATTATTAACAACAAGAATATTCAACTTGACTGTCATTTAGAGTACGATATTTTTGAAGTGAGAAGTTAAAGAATTATGAGCATATATTTGAAATGTCTTCTAATTTCAAACATTAGAAATCATTTTATTCAAATCATCATTTATCTATCAGTTGTTTATGTAAGAAATTACTTGTTGAAAAAATTTTACATAAGAAAAATTAAATCATCTAATAAAGAAAGGTTATTGATCTGAAAATATTTCTTGCTTATCTTTAACAATAGTTTTGTTCATTATTAACCTAACATAACATTTAGTTTTAATCATCTAATCAGTACGAGTTATTAATTGATTAATTAATAAGAATTAACAAATAATGATAAGAATTAACAAATATTAATAAGAATTAACAAATATTATTATTATTAACAAATATTGATCTAACAAATTTTGATTATTTCTGATCCGGAAATGTCGAATGTTAACATACAACAAGATATTTTCCTGCCAACTGTTTTTAACCCATTAATTTAGATCATCGAGCAGCAGTTAGCATTTTATTTAACATGATATGTAAGCACTCTTATCAAACTTTTTGTGAATAATTTGATTCAACATCTTACCGGAAACATTCCTTTTTTAGGTCTTATAATTATAAAATGAATTTTCATACAAAAAAAAGAAGGCATCACCCATTTGCAGAATATTTCATCACGTGGTGATGTACCACCAAAAATTCGAGCCAAAAGAGGTGGCGGATAGAATGAATTCACAAAATTCGGATAATAGCCATCTTTTGATAGTGATAATGATTGGCCTAAATAAAAATAGTTTACAATATTAAGTAGTAAATATAAATTATTTGTTTATCAGTAATTTAGCAAATTACTGATAAACATCATAATTCCAAGCCTTAAATTCATTAGATAATAGAATATTTTATTTTTAACAACTTATTTTGAGTCCTTTTTTCAAACCCATTCTTTAGCCCAAAACACTGCAGAATATTTTGGTAAGAAAAAAAGACTTGATATTTCTTACTGATTTGAAATTTTAATTGATGTATGAAATATGATAGATGACCTCTAAATGATATCATTTGATAGAAATTATGGAAGGATGAAGTTACCTTGATAAGAAGATGATAATGCAAATATGCATGTGGAACCAATATTAAGCATTGAGAAGTGATCCATATTACAGCTAACCATACCTTCATAACCAATACGGCAGTTTGCCAATACTAATGGTACCGCCATTGGTGGCATTGAATGAAGTTGTGCAGGTAATAAATAAATCGAACGTTGATCAACAAATTCGGTTTGCCCAATATCGATTAGGTACATCTAAAAAATAATGATAAGTAAATTGTAAACTAATCATTCAACTGATTGCTTTACATTTTTCTCTTATTAATTTGCCTTAGAAATTGAAAATATACCAAAATGAATATGGTAAATATAAGATATCAAAGTTTAAAAATTGTATCATTTAAATTTTTTTAAGATAGAAATTTTTAAAAAGAATTAAAGACATAAATTTTTTATATAAAAATAAAAATCAATTTTTACCTATCATTCAATTAATATATTCTTAACTATTAAACAATCATCCCTAATTTTTTGATAAAGATTTGCAAATTCAATTAAATCAATTTAATTGAATTGAATTACGAATGATACTTATGAACAGAGGAGATAGAAGAAAAATGAATGAAGAAAGTTGTCTACTGGGGGTATTACTGATATGATAAGTAAGATACAAAGAAGATGGATAAATTTAAAGTTAAATTATATATTTAACGAAAGTTATCTACTGAGGTATTACTGATATGATAAAGAAGATACAATGAAGATGGATAAATTTAAATGCTAGATTATATATTTCAAAATTTTCTTTTGAACGAAATGACTTATATGATAATGTAAAATGTAAAAAAATATTTTTCAGGAAAAAGTTGAAGTTAAAATTTGTTAGAAAAACAAATATATCTGATTTAAATATTCTGCAAATTAATTTTTTTGTAAAAAATAGAATAATTATGGAAAAAATTGCTATTTTAAAAGATTTAAATATTTCTTAAATTTTCAAAATTTTAAGAAGTTAAAAGAGAAAGCAACAACAACAACAACAACAACAACAACAACAACAACAACAACAACAACAATAACAACAACAACAACAGCATTAACCTGCCATTGTGTAGCCATTTGCCAGTTAAAATACATATGTGCACATACTCCACGAGCCAAAACATTACTTCCTTGTCGACGTATTAAATAAACGCCACCTTTAACAAAGAAAAAAAAAATGAATTCTTTTGGCATTGGCTCTTTTACTCTTTAATTTAGGCTCCTTAGCTTAGGCACATTTAGCAAAACTTTTCTCTGAATTCTTTACAGAAATTAAAAAATAAAGAAAAATTATCCAGTCTTAGGAAAACTATTTCATTGGATGATTTTTCTTCTAATTCTTCTCATAGTTTAAGTGATAAAGTAATTAACGAATATTTAATTAGTGCTTTATTGTAATTTCATTTTAATAATTAAAATCAAAAAATATTTATTAAAACTAATTAAAAGTTTCGAAATTAATTTTAATCATTAAATAAAAATGCAATAAAAACAATTAAATACTTAATTAAAATATCTTAGTCTTTTTAACAATTCACATTGTTTCAAAATTTATATTAAATAATTATTTAAATTTTAAAATCAAATACCAATATTAATTTTATTTGATGTTGCCGGGCATAATACTACTTGTTGAATGTCGAATAAAAAATTTTCCAACGTACTGTATATTTCATCCAAATTTTGTGGTCTAACATATAAGCAATTCTCTTTACGATTTACGTGTAATATAGTACCTTTTACGGGATAATCATATGGTAACATATGACGTGGATTGGAAACTGTATTACAGCGTAACTTTAGTAGCACTAAAAATTATATGCAATTAAGTAAAAATTATCAATTTATTAGCTTTGTCAAAATTTCCATAATTTATAATGCTAGCCAATTAAGCTGTAAAATAAAAAATTATGATAGAAATAAAATTTTAATTTAAAATTTTTTCAAAATTAAAAAGATAGTTTTAGAAGCTTCTTTCTAAGTTCAATTAAATAAGGTATGTAGCCAATTAAGCTGTAAAAGAAAACTAAGATAGTATTTGAAATAGTTTTAGAAGCTTCTTTCTGAGTTCAATTAAATAAGGTATGTGACTAATTAAGCTATGAAAGAAAACTATGACAGAATTTCAAATAGTTTTAGAAGCTTTTTTCTAAGTTCAGTTAAATGAGGTGTGTGGTCAATTAAGCTGTAAAAGAAAATTATGATAGAATTTCAAATAGTTTTAGAAGCTTCTTTCTAAGTTCAGTGAAATAAGGTATGTAACCAATTAAGCTGCAAAAGAAAACTATGATAGTATTTAAAATAGTTTTAGAAGCTTCTTTCTAAATTCAATTAAAACAAAATATGTGATACTATACGAAATGATCTAATCATTTCAGCTTTCTATAAATAATCAGTTAAAATATTAATTCATCTAGCCATTATTATCATTAAAATTGCTATGCTTTTTTTAAATCATTAAAATTAATACGAAGTGATAATTACTCATTTAATTTTTAAAATACTTTTTTTTTTCAAATAATTTTTTGATTAATTTTTCTTTTACGAAATTTCTTAAACTTTTTTACTTATAAATAATTAGTAATTATATTTTTGCAAAATTTTGCTATATCAAAAAACAAAAGAATTGAATTTGTTTTACGATGAAAATGAAAATTATATTGAACATACCCATTTTCCTTGGATAATCACCATTTCCACGCTTAAAAACAAAACGTGAAGGTAAAATGCAATCGATTGTTTCATGACTTTCCGAATTGCAATTCAAACAACCTAATCTTTCTACGTATGGATTCATCGAAAAATACTGATAATCCTCGAAGTAACGAAAATTTTCGATTAATTATTTGGTTTATTAAATGAATCAAAATTTCAGATTGCTACTGGTTCGAAAATAGGATTACATTTGAAATATGGATCGAAAAAAATCGGCTAGTAAATGAATTTCGACATTTTGCAAATCTCTTTCACGTACGTTTTTTTTTCTCAAATATGTGGCGCAAATTGTTTAATACTTAACAATCAAATATTCCTCGATAATTTCATCAATTTCAAAAATCTCATCGATATCAAAGTAGTATTGGAAAAATAGAATTATTATTTTACAATACATTTGCAATCGTGCAAACATGCCCAAATTCATGAATGTAAATGTTGCAAATATGCGCAAATTCGCTAACATTAACGTAGGTGGTATTTAATTGATTATTTAAAACTTCGATATCTTAAACTTACTTGATAATAGACACTATCTTCTATATATTCTTCAATCCATAAGGCTCGACCACATGTTTTTGAAAACATTGTCACCATTTTGTGACGTGAATATTACCCTGAAATTATTCCGAAATGTTGCCAATTTTACTAAGTCAATTGTTTTATTTCAAAATGCAATAATATAAAATTGAACTGACAAATTTACACAAGTTTAGAGACGATAACGTAGAAGATATTTCTAGTAAGCAAAAAGCAATTTCGAGAATTTGAAAAATTATAAAAAGGTTTTAAAGGAAGCAAAAAATTTAAATTAGAATAAAATAATAATTATTGTATCAATTAAGGAGTAAGTATTCAAGTTAATGAATGCATGATAATAATGGGTAAATATGGATAACAATGGATGATAAAACTTGTTAATCAATAAGTTAGTTAGTTAGTAATTCCGTATGATCATGCACTCTTTCATGAGTAGTGCACATTAATACATTGGCATATGCAAATGCATCAATAAATGTTGCCAAGAATATCTATAAGCTACCTGATAATAGTTCTGATAGTTAATAACTAGATCAATAAAATCCAGGATAGATAGAATAAATCTATATAAGATGGACAAAGGATAGCTAAATAGATAAATGAACAAATGAATGGATCATGATGAAGGATAGTAGAAATTTTGTTGACAACCTGTGTAAAAGATATTATTTGATTTCAAAAATAATGAAGGAAGAGAAGAGAAAATGATGAACAAGTTTGACATAACAAAAAGATAGTAAATGATATATTAACAGAAGAATTGTGTATCGTCATATAGAGAATCAAAAAATTTGCATATTCTAATAAATGCTATTATGTTTAATCTGACTTTTTCTCTTTTCCTTTTTGTTTTTCAGCAACAAATGAGAAAATTTAATAACGAAAAGATAAAAAGAAAAGGAGTTTAGAGAAATGAAAAAGAAAAATAAAAATTTGCATAAATATTAGAATTAGAATTTGTGCATTATAATTTATAATGTAAATATTGGAATTTGTATAAATGTTAGAATTAGAATTTATATATTATAATTTATAATATATATTCTTTTATTCTCTTGATGTGAGAAAATGTGTTCGTTGTTATGCTTTATTATTCTTTCAGATAGTTCAATCCGTTCTACAATTAGTAAATTATGTGCCCATCTATGATAACAATGTAATTGATA